CCCTTGTCGGGGGGGGGTCTGAGGCCCCCCCTCCCCCATTATAAGGCTGAGTCCGTTTCAGCCACCCGCATGAAATAGAATAGAGCCTAGGGGGGGGTGAAGGTTCCGTGAAATTTCAACAGGGGTGCTCGGAGGGAGAGGTAGGTAGGCTTGGGTCCGCAGATCTGTCCATGCACTGAAAATTTCGGCACTCGAAAATGTGCTTGAAGTACCTGGGGAAAGGGTTGGGCGGCAAGCAGGAAACTGCTGGGGGAAAGGGTTGTGGCCGGCCCCGCATAGTAGGAATTTAATGGATTTCTAATAGAAATATAGTTGCAGCCCAATAGAGGAGGCCACCTAGCCTCGCATAGGAGGAATTTAGTAGATTTCTCATAAAAATATAGCAGCCTTAAACACGAGATTAGCTTGAAATGGAACATGACTCGCTATCCCAGGACAGCCCTGAAATTTCAAGCCCGACCCCCACCCCCCAGGTCTGAACCCCCACCTCGACCGAAGCTGCCCTGAAATATTTCAGAGCCTCACCCCCGCCCCTCCGTTTCAAGCCACAAGGGGGGGGTGATAAAATAACTAACATAATAATGACTAGTAGTAGTAGTAGTAGTAGTAGTGGGAAAATGTAGGAAGTAGGAATATTTTTTCGTTATTTTTTTCTCGTTTTTTTTCGTGCTTTTTGTGTTTTCATGTTTTTTTCGACTTTTCGTTTTTTTTATCTTTTCCACGCTGAACGCCCACTCCACTTGTACACGATGCGCAAAATGCTCGCTTGGGCGGATCATGTCACCTCGCTTCATGCGCAGCATATCAAAGCGCACAAAAGCAAGCATCTTTTTTGTTGCACAAAGCAAGCATCTCATATTGCCGCACCGCTGCATTCGAGAGGTAGGTGTGTGTGTGTGTGTGTGTGTGTGTGTGTGTGTGTGTGTGACCCCGACGCTGCTGGCACTGCTGGCGGTGCCATGTCCGCACCACCATGCGTGACCGGATCCAGCAACAGCAACCCTTGTCTGCGCTGGCTGGCGCATGTACACGATGCTAGTGCTTGAGTGTACAGTTGCAGCAAGGCAAAGCTGTGCAGGACTGCGGAGGCGGCTAGCTCCTGCAAGTTCCCGTGGTTTCCGGTGTTTGTCCCAGTTCCGCGGCAGCGGCGGCCTGTCTCATCTGGCAAAGGTCCAGCAGCACGCGTCCCCAGAGAGCATCCACAACACGATTTTCTGCGATCATGGAGCCATGGAGAAGCGCTGCTTGGGTGCGGTCGCAGGCCATGTTCAAGGCCAGGAAACCACAAAGGCCCCAAGGAACCTTCACAAACAAAAAACGGGCCTGGGCTCGTGCTTTGTTGGCTGGCTCTAAGAGCTTCGCGGAGCAATTCCAGAGCCTGGGCCCGTTTCGTTTTCCCCATTTCATCTCGATCAAGCCTCGTGATTTCCCGCGACCACATCTTACACCCCGCTACTTCAGCTGGACCCGGCCAGCTCCAGCGATTTCAGCTAGACGCGCAGGAGCGGGCCCCCCTTCATGATGGGACAGCGCTGAGATGCCGCACAGGGCACCACAAATGGCAGGAGCATGTGCCATTACAGGAACAGGTGAGATCACTTCTCTGTGTTGTCTTGTGCACTGCTGTCTATGTACGGCGAAGCTCCCCTTCCAGCTCACACAGTCAACACATCCAGCTGTTTGGTAGACCGAACGCATTGTGCCGTTCAACAAGGACACGCGCTGAAATGAGTGATGTAGCGACCAACTTCCATTAACATGTGCCCATAGTTGCAATCGCTGATGTAGGCTGAAATGGACCATGTAACATTTCTAGGAGCCATTTCAGCCCTCAGCTGGAATCACTTCGACCGGATGTAGCCCCGCACAAAACAGCCAGCATAAAGCAACGGGGATGCGGCGAAGGCGTCGTAGAGCATCCGGACACGTTCTGGCGGTGCGACGATGTAAATGTCGGATCCATGCCACGGCCGGATCAGCAGGCCGCCGAATTGCGCATCACTATCAACGTCTCCGACAATCCCACTTGCTGCGAGTTCGGGTCGGAGACGGCCACGCTTGCAGAAATCAAAACATAGGTCGCGGATGTTGTGCCCAGGGATACAAGAAAGAACATGGCGCCCGATCTTGTCCAAAAGAATGCCGCAGGACGTGTATAGCGAACCACCTTCGAAAACATCGACTCCCAAGCGGAGCGCAACCTCACGATCGAACTCAGCATTGGTCAAGCGTCTTGGAAGGAGTCGCCATAAATACCCGACCTGCAACTTGGCGACGACGACTTGGCACTGCAACTTCATCGACCCAGTTCCCATAAATGCGGCCGTCCCAAAATGATTCAGACGTGAAACGGAGCAGCTCTGGCGAAGAAGATAGCAACCGACTTGGGCATCCGTCAATTCCCTTATGGCCTGAATGCCGGTAGCCGACGACCGCCGCATCGAAGTCGTCACGAACGGACTGGACCTGCGGAATGGCTCGCAGCAAGCCGTAGATGCCACCTTCGTCAGCCCCGTCACCAAGGCTGGTGACGCTCAGCCTGGTGCTGACATGCACCCTGGCCATCCCTGGCCGAACCGTCGAAGCAGCCACCTGGCTCCAACTGCTCGCTGCGCACCTGGCCTTGGAGGATCTTGGAGGCACCTGCCACTGCGAGCGGCTGCGCGTGCAGCAACAGCTTGGTTGTTCGATGGTCTGGCCTGCCCATCGCCGCGTCGCTGCTGGAACTCCCACTTGCAGGGAAGTGCAACCTCGCCGGAAGCGTGCCTGAGCTGCATGAGGTCTTCGCCGACCTGGCGTGGGCGCCACCGTAGGACACGGTAGGAGGGCGCGTTTGTTGACCTTGTGCGGCCGGAAAGACCTGAGCCAAAAAAACAGCGCTTTGTCCGCAACAGTAGAAGCGAAGTGCTCACACCAGGCTAAGGGCCCGATGGGGGACTTGAGGATTTCAACCTCACCGCCTGAAGCGACCATGCAACCAGCATCAACAGTGGCTTGCCAGTCAACACGAGACTGCAAGCCGGCAGCCGGAGCGACAACAAGGCTGGAATAGCGCCAAGCAAATTCCGCTGAGGTGCAAAAGGCAGCGCAGGACCCCTTCGGAAGGGCCAGGCAAGAAGCCATCGTCTGTTTTGTTTTGCTTGTGCGGACGTTTTTCCACTCGCGGCTGCCTGTGCAGCCGGGCTCAGTGCTGCCGGCGTGGCAGAAGCGCGGGCTCGTGCCGAAAGGCGGAACAAAGAGGCGGCTTCGGCGTCCCAGTGGCCTTCAACCTCGGGCCTAAACACGACTAACGCGGGCTCCGGCTTTTTGGCAGACCCTTGCGATGGCGCTCTCGACCGGCATTGCTCGGCACAGGCAGCGCGGCGGTGGTTGTAGGCATCTGTTCCTCGGGGAGCCGAAGCCGCCGGAGGAGCAGGATCCGAAAGTGGGACGAGGGGATGGATACATCCTCCAAGGTAGGTAGAACCGAGAGGGCCCGCGCGGAGTGTGCCGGCCTGTGAAAACAGCAGCGCGCGAAATGCTGGTGTGAGATCAGAACGATGCGGCTCGAGCGCAAACTCATCACATGCATGGGCAAACCTTGCTGAGCGCTCATGGAATGACCCGACCACGGTGGTACAGTAGACGTGGCTGGCGCAGCAAGTGGGATAAATATATCCCAACCAACGGCTCAAGCCCGGGCAGACCTCTCGCATGCGTGTGAGAAACGTGTGGTGGTTGTGAGTGTTGCCTTCGTGAAAAGCTACCAGCACACGGTAACTATCACCACCAAAGTCCTTAAGCCACACGCGGGCAACGCGAGGCAGGACCTCGACCCCTGCAGGCAAACTGGTAAGGAAGGAGGTGCTCACGCAAAGTGTCGATCTCAGTGGCGAGAAGGCCTTGACAACAATGCCTCGGAAGGCCTCGCCCGTGGTGGCATTCTGGCAACCGGACTTACTGGTCTTCTCAAGGGCAGTGCCGCGGGCGCTGGCGAGGTGGGCTTGTAGGTGAACCCGGGCACGACCATCAGCGAGCAGGTTGACGAAGGAAGCAATCAGGCCGAGGCCTGGCTTGCTGGGACCAGCTTCACCGACAACCTCTCGCAAGAATCCCGGCCGAAGACCACTCGGAGCAGGAGCGGCGCCCCGCTTGAAAGAGTGGATGGCCTTCAAGACCTGCTCCTCAGACAACTCATTGGCTGCAGGAGCTGTAGACGGGTAGAAGCCGCGTGGTGATGCGTGGTGTGGCAAAGGAGTGATGAACTTGGAGCACATCACAGCCTCGACAAGGGTTGTGTCGACAGCGACTTTGGCTCCAGTGAGGCGTTGAAAAGCTTGATGCAGTCGCTCAGGGACCCCCCTCTGAATCAGCCAAGTGTTCGTGTTCATACAACGGCCAGTGAAGTTCATCGCAAACAGACGCGAGATCTGTTTGCAAGCCTTGTAAGATGACAGCAAACCCCCGGCACACTGCCAGTGAAGCCGTAGTACTTTCGCATACACAGCAATCTACAGTCCAACAGCTGCACCGTGAACGCGAGTATTCACAAGAGAAGCACTCTCACTCCCCTACAGAATCACGCAGTTTTGCAATCCTTCTGCTCATGCCGGCGCGCTGTCTGTCCAAGCACCTGCTCGAATTGCTCTGACCCTAGAGCCTACGAGGTCTGCGGCGTAATGGTCTGCGAGTAGCTTGTCTACCGGACTCTAGCCAGTTGGAGGACAAGTAGCCTGTTGACAATGCAATGGCAGAGTAAGTCAAGACTTCCAAGAGGCGCTTGGCTGGCCGCCTAGAGTCCAGAGATGCTCCTCGCTACATGCTAAACCTGCAATCTGCACTTAAGCAGCGTCCACGACGCCGGGCTTGTGCCCTGGCAGACGGCCATTTCTTTTGAATTCCTATGGAAAGCACGGTGCCTGAACCTATGAGCTCAGGAAGCTCAGGCTCCCAGGCTCCAATCACATCCAAAAGCACCGCGCTTCCAAAAGCGCCCCGTCTGGGAGCTAGAAGTCGCAGCCTCAAACGAAGGTTTCCGGCACGGGCCCCAGGCGCCAAGCAAGCTCCGGAAGCGTCAAAGCGACCTTCGTCAACAGAGGGCAGCTTGTGCGCATAACCATATCCGTTACTCAGACAGAGGGCTGGAGGGAACCTCCAGACTGTGAGTCGACCTGCGACCTGCAGCCAAGCTTCGACGAGAAAGAAAATCCGGGCTGCTCTTCGCATCGCCTCCTGATCAGAGCGCAGCGCTTTCAAAGCTCGGACACGGCCAGCAGCCGCTGGAATGCGAAAACCAGCTAGGAGCAACTACGGCTGACGTTCGCATGACAGACTAGACTAAACCCGTCCTTCATGCGTCTTCCCCCAGCATCATCGGTATGGCAAGCAACTGGCCCCATGCTTACATCTGCCGCATTGGTGATGCTCGGCGAAGCCCGACCATCGGATTCGACTGGACTTTCTGCAATGCCCTCGGAAAGCTCTTGCGCGGCCTGCTTGATGCCGAAAGCCATCTCTGATTCACCACTTGACGCCATGCCTTGTGTTGCATCTCTGACCTCGCAGTCGGATGGCACGGATGCTGGCAGAGTTGGCACAGCGATGTCAAAATGCAGATCTGAACTGCTTGGGTCGTCATTAGCAAGCTCTGAACAAGCCGCTGACTCACCCGGCACTTGCTCATCCTCCCACACTGATGCAACAGCTGCAGCCGCAGCCAAGACAGGCGTGCGATCTTCCTCCTCAAGGGCATCCGTGCTGGGAGTTGCAGATTCGCGATCTTCTCGCCGAGGCCCTGGATTGCTTATCTCTTCTGCTGAATTCCCATCCAAGTCATCCAGCTCGCCCAACTCTGTGTGGCCATCATCATCAAGACCGATGTCGTGGTGGACATCCGCCTGTGATGCGCTTCTGCCGTCTGAAGCCGGGGCTTCGACACACTCCCCCGGCGTGAGTTGCAGCTCTTGCTGCTTCTTGCCAGACTCTGAAGAAGAATCGTAAGCTTCCACCGGGCACTCGCCAAGCGCATGCGACTCAGCATGCGGGACACACAGCTCTGCTTGTGCAGCTTCAGAATCCATGCTGGAATCGATGAAATCCTTCCGCGCAGCTCCGTCGTCAATGTGCCCCAAGTCTGCGGCTATGTTCCCCACGGTGGGATGCGCGACTTCCGCGCACTCAGACATCTTGTCTTGGCACAGCTCCAAGTCTTGCCCGTGCAGCAACACATCTCCATCGCTTCCACTCAGCCTCTCCTCAAAGGCCTCATCGCATGCTGCAGGAAGGCTTTCTTGCAAAATCACGCTCAACTCGCTGTCCTGCTGATCCGGCCCCATGCTTGCATCGGCCGCATTGGTGATGCTCGGAGAAGCCAGACCATCGGATTCGACTCGACTTTCTGCAATGCCCTCGGAAAGCTCTTGCGTGGCCTGCTTGATGCCGAAAGCCATCTCTGATTCACCACTTGAGGCCATGCCTTGTGTTGCATCGGTAACCTCGCAGTCGGATGGCACGGATGCTGGCAGAGTTGGCACAGCGATGCCAAAATCCAGGTCCGAACTGCCTGGGTCGTCATTGGCAAGCTCTGAACAAGCCGCTGACTCACCCGGCACTTGCTCATCCTCCCACATTGATGCAACAGCTGCACCTGCAGCCAAGACAGGCGTGCGAGCTTCCTCCTCAAGTGCATCCGTGCTGGGAGTTGCAGATTCGCGATCTTCTCGCCGAGGCCCTGGATTGCTTATCTCTTCTGCTGAATTCCCATCCAAGTCATCCAGCTCGCCCAACTCTGTGTGGCCATCATCATCAAGACCGATGTCGTGGTGGACATCCGCCTGTGATGCGCTTCTGCCGTCTGAAGCCGGGGCTTCGACACACTCCCTTGGCGTGAGTTGCAGCTCTTGCTGCTTCTTGCCAGACTCTGAAGACGAATCGCAAGCTTCCACCGGGCACTCGCCAAGCGCATGTGACTCAGCATGCGGGACACAAAGCTCTGCTTGTGCCGCTTCAGAATCCATGCTGGAATCGATGAAGTCCTTCCGCGCAGCTCTGTCGTCAATGTGCTCCAAGTCTGCGGCTATGTTCCCGAGGTTGGGATGCGCGACTTCCGCGCACTCAGACATCTTATCTTGGCACAGCTCCAAGTCTTGCCCGTGCAGCAACACATCTCCATCGCTTCCACTCAGCCTCTCCTCAAAGGCCTCATCGCATGCTGCAGGAAGGCTTTCTTGCAAAATCACGCTCAACTCGCTGTCCTGCTGATCCGGCCCCATGCTTGCATCGGCCGCATTGGTGATGCTCGGAGAAGCCAGACCATCGGATTCGACTGGACTTTCTGCAATGCCCTCGGAAAGCTCTTGCGCGGCCTGCTTGATGCCGAAAGCCATCTCTGATTCACCACTTGAGGCCATGCCTTGTGTTGCATCGGTAACCTCGCAGTCGGATGGCACGGATGCTGGCAGAGTTGGCACAGCGATGCCAAAATCCAGGTCCGAACTGCCTGGGTCGTCATTGGCAAGCTCTGAACAAGCCGCTGACTCACCCGGCACTTGCTCATCCTCCCACATTGATGCAACAGCTGCACCTGCAGCCAAGACAGGCGTGCGAGCTTCCTCCTCAAGTGCATCCGTGCTGGGAGTTGCAGATTCGCGATCTTCTCGCCGAGGCCCTGGATTGCTTATCTCTTCTGCTGAATTCCCATCCAAGTCATCCAGCTCGCCCAACTCTGTGTGGCCATCATCATCAAGACCGATGTCGTGGTGGACATCCGCCTGTGATGCGCTTCTGCCGTCTGAAGCCGGGGCTTCGACACACTCCCTTGGCGTGAGTTGCAGCTCTTGCTGCTTCTTGCCAGACTCTGAAGACGAATCGCAAGCTTCCACCGGGCACTCGCCAAGCGCATGTGACTCAGCATGCGGGACACAAAGCTCTGCTTGTGCCGCTTCAGAATCCATGCTGGAATCGATGAAGTCCTTCCGCGCAGCTCTGTCGTCAATGTGCTCCAAGTCTGCGGCTATGTTCCCGAGGTTGGGATGCGCGACTTCCGCGCACTCAGACATCTTATCTTGGCACAGCTCCAAGTCTTGCCCGTGCAGCAACACATCTCCATCGCTTCCACTCAGCCTCTCCTCAAAGGCCTCATCGCATGCTGCAGGAAGGCTTTCTTGCAAAATCACGCTCAACTCGCTGTCCTGCTGATCCGGCCCCATGCTTGCATCGGCCGCATTGGTGATGCTCGGAGAAGCCAGACCATCGGATTCGACTGGACTTTCTGCAATGCCCTCGGAAAGCTCTTGCGCGGCCTGCTTGATGCCGAAAGCCATCTCTGATTCACCACTTGAGGCCATGCCTTGTGTTGCATCGGTAACCTCGCAGTCGGATGGCACTGATGCTGGCAGAGTTGGCACAGCGACGCCAAAATCCAGGTCCGAACTGCCTGGGTCGTCATTGGCAAGCTCTGAACAAGCCGCTGACTCACCCGGCACTTGCTCATCCTCCCACATTGATGCAACAGCTGCAGCTGCAGCCAAGACAGGCGTGCGTGCTTTCTCCTCAAGTGCATCCGTGCTGGGAGTTGCAGATTCGCGATCTTCTCGCTGAGGCCCTGGGTTGCCTATCTCTTCTGCTGAATTCCCATCCAAGTCATCCAGCTCGCCCAACTCTGTGTGGCCATCATCAAGACCGATGTCGTGGTGGACATCCGCCTGTGATGAGCTTCTGCCGTCTGAAGCCGGGGCTTCGACACACTCCCTTGGCGTGAGTTGCAGCTCTTGCTGCTTCTTGCCAGACTCTGAAGACGAATCGTAAGCTTTCACCGGGCACTCGCCAAGCGCATGCGACTCAGCATGCGGGACACACAGCTCTGCTATTGCCGCTTCAGAATCCATGCTGGAATCGATGAAGTCCTTCCACGCAGCTCCGTCGTCAATGTGCTCCAAGTCTGCGACTATGTTCCCCACGGTGGGATGCGCGACTTCCGCGCACTCAGACATCTTGTCTTGGCACAGCTCCAAGTCTTGCCCATGCACCAACACATCTCCATCACTTCCACTCGGCCTCTCCTCGAAGGCCTCATCGCATGCTGCAGGAAGGCTTTCTTGCAAAATCACGCTCAACTCGCTGTCCTGCTGATCCGGCCCAATGCTTGCATCGGCCGCATTGGTGATGCTCCGAGAAGCCAGACCATCGGATTCGACTCGACTTTCTGCAATGCCCTCGGAAAGCTCTTGCGTGGCCTGCTTGATGCCGAAAGCCATCTCTGATTCACCACTTGAGGCCATGCCTTGTGTTGCATCGGTAACCTCGCAGTCGGATGGCACGGATGCTGGCAGAGTTGGCACAGCGATGCCAAAATCCAGGTCCGAACTGCCTGGGTCGTCATTGGCAAGCTCTGAACAAGCCGCTGACTCACCCGGCACTTGCTCGTCCTCCCACACTGATGCAGCTGCAGCCAAGACAGGCGTGCGAGCTTCCTCCTCAAGTGCATCCGTGCTGGGAGTTGCAGATTCGCGATCTTCTCGCCGAGGTCCTGGATTGCCTATCTCTTCTGCTGAATTCCCATCCAAGTCATCCAGCTCGCCCAACTCTGTGTGGCCATCATCATCAAGACCGATGTCGTGGTGGACATCCGCCTGTGATGCGCTTCTGCCGTCTGAAGCCGGGGCTTCGACACACTCCCTTGGCGTGAGTTGCAGCTCTTGCTGCTTCTTGCCAGACTCTGAAGAAGAATCGCAAGCTTCCACCGGGCACTCGACAAGCGCATGCGACTCAGCATGCGGGACACAAAGCTCTGCTTCTGCCGCTTCAGAATCCATGCTGGAATCGATGAAATCCTTCCGCGCAGCTCCGTCGTCAATGTGCTCCAAGTCTGCGGCTATGTTCCCCACGGTGGGATGCGCGACTTCCGCGCACTCAGACATCTTGTCTTGGCACAGCTCCAAGTCTTGCCCATGCACCAAAACGTCTCCATCACTTCCACTCGGCCTCTCCTCGAAGGCCTCATCGCATGCTGCAGGAAGGCTTTCTTGCAAAATCACGCTCAACTCGCTGTCCTGCTGATCCGGCCCAATGCTTGCATCGGCCGCATTGGTGATGCTCGGCGAAGCCAGACCATCGGATTCGACTAGACTTTCTGCAATGCCCTCGGAAAGCTCTTGCGTGGCCTGCTTGATGCCGAAAGCCATCTCTGATTCACCACTTGAGGCCATGCCTTGTGTTGCATCGGTAACCTCGCAGTCGGATGGCACGGATGCTGGCAGAGTTGGCGCAGCGATGCCAAAATCCAGGTCCGAACTGCCTGGGTCGTCATTGGCAAGCTCTGAACAAGCCGCTGACTCAGCCGGCACTTGCTCATCCTCCCACACTGATGCAACAGCTACAGCTGCAGCCAAGACAGGCGTGCGAGCTTCCTCCTCAAGGGCATCCGTGCTGGGAGTTGCAGCTTCGCGATCTTCTCGCTGATGCCCTGGATTGCCTATCTCTTCCGCTGAATTCCCATCGAAGCCATCCAGCTCGCCCAACTCTGTGTGGCCATCATCAAGCCCGATGTCGTGGTGGGCATCCGCCTGTGATGCGCTTCTGCCATGGACTGAAGCCGGGGCTTCGACACACTCCCCTGGTGTGAGTGAACCAGAATCGCAAGCTGCCACTGGGCACTCTTCCAGCGCATGTGGCTGAGGGTGCGGAACACAAACCTCTGCTTCTGCTGGTTCAGAAGGGATGCTGGACTCCTTGTCTGCAGCCTCGTCGTCAACGTGCTCCAAGTCTGCCGCGATGTTCCCGACGGTTTGATGCGCGACTTCCGCGCAGTCAGCAACAGGAGTGGGCTTGTCTTGGCACAGCTTCAAGCCTGACCCGCACTGCGACAAAACCCCCCTGCCAGCATCGGTCACATTGGCGACGCTCGGCGAATCCCGACAACTAGCAGATACATTTTCGGACCTGACGTTGGAAAGCTCTTGGGCGGGCTCCTTGAAGCTCACAGTCCTTCTCGCCTTTGTCGAAGTCTTTGTGCCGAGAGGCTTTGCAGCAGCCGTAGTCCTGAAAGCTGTGCAGGTGCTTTGCATTCACCAATTTCGACACTCCCTGCCATGCAGGCTCCTTGCTGGGGTGGTGTCTGCTCTCTGCATGGCCGCCTTTTTGTCCAGCACCTGAACAAGAACAATGGTCCCAGTAAGCCAGTAAGCCGTTGGTGTAACCTTGCTACCTTGCACAACGCCCTAGCCGTAGCCTTGGGCTTCGCACGCTCAACTTGCTGCTGTTGTGAATGAATCTGCTTCGCCGGAACCCTGCTCGTACCTTGCACGTGCATGCAAGGTTGCATGCCGTGGGCACAACCCTGGCATCCCTTCAAACCCTCTAACATGCCACGGCAACTTGCTCCGTACGCCAAGCGACCCGTGGGGAGCTGCGGGCGCGGAATCTTGCTCGGAGCAACGGTCTTCTTGGATGGCTGCCGCGGCTCTGAAGGTCGATCTCGTGCTTCGCCACTCTTCTCCTTGGACTACGGGGTTGGAGTATATGATGACATAGATATGAAGATATGATATAGTCTATAGTCTATAGTATGAAGGACTCGTCAGGGATTTCTGAATTGCATCGCCGGCGCTGCTCCGAGGGTCGATGCGGCCGGCTGCGGAGCAGCAGCCTCGCCGCGCTTTGCCGGGATCCTGCAACTGGAGATCGGCAGAAGAGTCGGGATTCAAGCCACTGACCGAGGCTAGATACTCCAGAAATCTCCAAAAGCTCAGTACCCGAATTGCTGTTGGAAATTGTCAACGAACACAAACATGACTTTCACAACCTCAAAAAACTGCCAAATAATGGATCCCTTTGAGTTTGAAGCAAGGACTGTGGTCCGGAAGCCCATTGCGCCATCGAGAGGGCTTAAAACCTCACCAGCAAACCGCATCGCACACCCCATCCTGGGTCGTGGTATCCTGCTTGTCTTTTCCGATTCCACTGCTTTCTTGTCCAAAGCCTCTTGCAAGGCTCAACAGCCGGACGTCTGAATAAGCCGCACCGACTGATATACCCTGACTGATTCAAGCTCTGGCAAAGAACAAACCTCGCTTGAATCGGTTCAAGGCCTAGCCAAGCTTGCGCATTGCAGCCTATACCGTAGATCATAATCACTAGATTATCAGCGGACACCTTGCCCCCAAAGCCCAGCAACTCTCGCCTCAGCCCTCCATCCCCCGAACTTGAAGCCGAGCCACTTAAGCAAAGCTGCAAGCAGTTTCCCCTCTCAAGGAATTCTTCGCCTAAGTCCGCGGGCCTGCCAGAACTCGCGGACGTCCTTCTTGGACTGGCTTGCCTGCCCGACGACAGCAGAGCCGCAGAGCCCCTCGGGCAAAGTCACGAGTAGCTCAGGATCAGGTCCTGCCTTCTCCGGCTCGTTGCCTGTGATTGTCGGTTCCTTGGGCGGCTGCGAAGGAGGGGAACCTTGTCGCAGAGCGCAGAGCTCCCGGCATGGGCAAGAGTCAAGAGTGTGGTCGCGCGATGTCGCGCGGCTGAAATCGCTTCAACCGAGCCGGGCCGACCTGCCATAGGTCTCGAAGGGCGCACTTTGCTGGCCCCGTCCGGCTGCTTCGGCGCCGGGACCGGGCGGGGCTCGGAGAGTTTCTTCTTCGGCTTCGGCACCTGGCAGCGGCACATGAAGCCTTGCATGATCTCGAGTGGGAAGGAGGGAGGGAGAGAGGGAGAGAGGGGGAGGGAGAGAGAGGGAGCGAGTGAGACAGAGAGAGAGAGGGAGGAGGAGACTAGGAAGTTGAAAGCAGCCGCCTCGCTCGACCGGGCATCCCTCCGAGCCGCCGCAGTCTTCGTCAGACCCAGGCATGAAGTGGAGGGGGAATGGCGCAGCGCTGGCTCAATCTGCTTCCTTCGGCTGTCTGCGGCATGGCTGGCAGCGGCCGGCGGATTGCTCGCTCCAGCTGAACCAACCGTAAGCTGCTCATCGGACACGGCACTGGCATCATTGGCGAAGCTCTTCGAGTCCAGACCAGTGGTTGCACAGTCAGCCTCGCCCTCGGCCTCATGGAAGCTGACAGGCGCCGATGCATCTTGCACGTGGCCTTTGCTACACTCCAGATCGATGACATTGCAGTCCGATGGCACCGATGCTGGCAGAGTCGGCAGAGGCACATCGACATGCAGATCCGAACTGCCGGGGTCGGCAACAGCCAGCTTGGAACACCTTTGCTCGCCCTCCAACACTAACCCAACATCTTCATCTTCGGTCATCAAGACAGGCGTGCGAGCTTTCTCCTCACGTGCATCCGTGCTGGGAGTTGCAGATTCGCGATCTTCTCGCTGAGGCCCTGGATTGCCCATCTCCTCTGTTGAATTCCCATCCAAGTCATCCAGCTCGCCCAACTCTGTGTGGCCATCATCAAGACCGATGTCGTGGTGGACATCCGCCTGTGATGCGCTTCTGCCGTCTGTAGCCGGGGCTTCGACGCACTCCCCCGGTGTGAGTTGCAGCTCCTGCTGCTTCTTGCCAGACTCTAAAGAAGAATCGCAAGCTTCCACCGGGCACTCGCCAAGCGCATGCGACTCAGCATGCGGGACACAAAGCTCTGCTTCTGCCGCTTCAGAATCCATGCTGGAATCGATGAGATCCTTGCGCGCAGCTCCGTCGTCAATGTGCTCCAAGTCTGCGACTATGTTCCCCACGGTGGGATGCGCGACTTCCGCGCACTCAGACATCTTGTCTTGGCACAGCGCCAAGTCTTGCCCGTGCACCAACACATCTCCATCACTTCCACTCGGCCTCTCCTCGAAGGCCTCATCGCATGCTGCAGGAAGGCTTTCTTGCAAAATCACGCTCAACTCGCTGTCCTGCTGATCCGGCCCAATGCTTGCATCGGCCGCATTGGTGATGCTCGGCGAAGCCAGACCATCGGACTCGGCTGCACTTTCTGCAATGCTCTCGGAAAGCTCTTGCGCGGCCTGCTCGATGCCGAAAGCCATCTCTGGTTCACCACTTGAGGCCATGCCTTGTGTTGCATCGGTGACCTCGCAGTCGGATGGCACGGATGCTGGCAGAGTTGGCGCAGCGATGCCAAAATCCAGGTCCGAGCTGCCTGGGTCGTCATTGGCAAGCTCTGAACAAGCTGCTGACTCACCCGGCACTTGCTTATCCTCCCACACTGATACAACAGCTGCAGCTGCAGCCAAGACAGGCGTGCGAGCTTCCTCCTCAAGTGCATCTGTGCTGGGAGTTGCAGATTCGCGATCTTTTCGCCGAGGTCCTGGATTGCCTATCTCTTCTGCTGAATTCCCATCCAAGTCATCCAGCTCGCCCAACTCTGTGTGGCCATCATCAAGACCGATGTCGTGGTGGACATCCGCCTGTGATGCGCTTCTGCCGTCTGTAGCCGGGGCTTCGACGCACTCCCCCGGTGTGAGTTGCAGCTCCTGCTGCTTCTTGCCAGACTCTGAAGAAGAATCGCAAGCTTCCACCGGGCACTCGCCCAGCGCATGCGACTCAGCATGCGGGACACAAAGCTCTGCCTGTTCAGAAGGCATGCTGGAATCTCTAGACGCAGCTCCGCTGTCGGGGCTCTGCATCTCTAAATCGCCCTGCTCCAAGTCTACCGCCAGGTTTCCCAGCGTGCGATGCAGGAGAGTCGCGGAAGCTTCCTCATGCAACTCCAACTCCTGGATGAGGAAAGCGGGGGCCCCTTCGCAGTCCAGCGTCTTCTCTTCGCAGGGCTCCGAGTCGTCGTCTTCCAAGCTCATGCAGAACTCGAGGTGCGTCGCACACCGCAGCTCCGCAGCTCCCGGGAGGCTCTTCTGCCTTGGCGCGGCACACACGGAAAGCAGAAGGCCGCGGCCTCGTTTGAGGCGCCGAGTCGCTCCAGGGGCTCGAGGTCTTCGGTGAAGGCAAGGGATGCCTTGATCTCCTCTGGTGACCCGGGCCCGGGTATGGCGGGAGCACCTCGTCGCGCGAATGCAGACGACACATCAGCTTGGACGAGCGGGCCCTTGCAAGCTGAATCTCCGATTGCAAGCCGGAGGCCTTCGCACGCTTCGATGCCATAGAACAGAGGAGCCTTCGATGCCTGGCCAAGCTTTTTCAGGGAGAAGGGCATGCTAGAATCTGCTACGAGTAGACGCACGCATCTTCTTCCATCGAAGCCCACAGAGGACACAATACGCATAGCGACGCCGGTCGCGACCAAACAACTCAAGACCACCGACCTCCTTACTGCACCCGTCCGAGAATGAAGGCGCCTCGAGGCTCGAAACCTAAGTCTTCAAGACCAGGGCGGCCGGCAGCTCTCTGAAGCAAAACTCGCCTTCCGGCGGCTGAGCTCCAGCTCCAGCCAAGGCACCGGCACCGGCTCCGCAAACTTCTCGCTACTCGCCGGAAGCACCAGCGGCGTCCGACGCAAAGGCGTCAGCGGATCAGGAGCATCGCCCACGTCCGCGCCACCCCCGTCGCCCGGCACTTGCTCCTGCAGGGCGCCCCCCGGGGATGGCCGGGGCAGAGCAGAGCGCAGAGCTCCCGAGCTCCTGCGTCCAGTCGGCCTCGAACTCATCCACGATGGACCAATCCAGCGCTCTCTCGCCTGAGCTTTCGGATGCTTTTGCGGTATCTTGCAAGAAGTTCTCGCTCGGTTGAGATCTGCAAGTTCACCACTTGAAGGCAGCCGCATCTTATCCAAACACCCGGTGCGAATGGCAAAGCTCCGGCTTGAAGACCGGACGTCGCAGACCCGAAGACGAGCCACTCTGCTCAAGCGTCTCCGGATTCATCAGGCAGAGCTGCGAGTCACCTGCAGTTCACGGAGCTGAGGCCGGGGGGGACTAAGCAACAATCCGATCGGAAGGCAACAGAAGTGGCAGGACAAGATAAAGAAGGGAACCCCATTGCTGCTTCCATAAGTCTCCCAAGAGCGCGCTACGGATCCGAGAAGTTCCAAGCGAGATGCCATCCAACTCCCTCGAGAGAAACTCCGACTGGCCAGCCAGCTCCTGACGATCGGTCAAAAGCAGCGGCACTGAGTCAAGCGCTGGCGCGGAAAGCCGGGGGGCACCGCTCTTGTGTGAACAGCTCAGACTCCTTCTTTGCAAGGGGCCTGAGAAACCTCCTCGTAGATTCAAGGTCGTTTGCTGTGCATTCAAACTCAGGTCAGCTGCTGTCACCGAGCCTCAACGCTTCTTTCCAACTTCACTTCGGGTGCTTACTATGTCACCAGGTTTCGCTGCTCTCGCTACACTGTCGCTACGCAACATGTCCTCATCCTGCCCGTCAGGACTCGGAGCTGCCTGGTTCGGCGTCGTGAGGTAAGCTCTCAGCATCCGGCAGATCTATGCCAGGTTCGAGACTCTTGTTCACGGCACTCGAGAGACTGAGGACATCTGTTGGACCGAAACCAACCGCGACGGACTGCTCTATCAAACAAACTGTGGGGTCCTCGCCTGCGCCTTTATGCTTCTGTCCGTGCGAATTCGACAGGCTTTGCAGCTTCGCGAACATTGACTTGATTTTGCACGAGTCTCTCCAACCTCATATTGTTCCCCAAGGATGCAGCATCAATCCGAGCCCCGAGCACCAAGCACAAAGCTGCATGACTAAGTCACATCCCCAAGTCTGTTCAGTGCAAGAGCAACTCTGTCCCCAGCGCCTGGCTCCCCAGCGAGATTGGCGCGTGCATGGCCACCAAGTTCGGCAGTTGGCCTGCGCTGCAGTTTCTCAGGGTGAAAAGTGAAGGCATCTGAGATACAAAAGCAACCAGGAAACGCCTGCAAGGCACATGAACAGTGGAGAGAGCACTGAACTCAACCAGGACACGTCGTGTGAGAAGACAATGCATTCGACACCCCGTGCTCCTGAAATCGCCCGGCTCCAAGTCAGCACGGGATGCTTTGCGAGACTTGCGAGAGAGGTGCTTTGATCACAAAGCTGCGAAGTATTCATCCTGGGTGCTTGCGATTCAACTTGGGTAACAAGGAGAGATCTTTTGCCCCTTCTTCTTCCCTAGTGGAGAGTTTGCTGTAGGGCTGCAAACACGCTGCACAATCTTTTGTCTGCCCTGGGACGGTCACTCCGCCGGTTCAACCGGCTCCACGGGCTCTGCGGAGTTCACAGGTTCGGCCGAGTCCGGCTGCGCCGAGTCAGGCGCGGAGGCAGAGAGATCGGCAGACTCTGCTGCTGCGGGAGGGCGGACCGTCACCCGGAGCGCCTCACCAGCATGGCCCAGAACTTGCATAACGTGACACGGCCCGGACCCAGCCGCGCTCCACACAGGCAGCTGGCGGGTCAGCGGTTCGACTCTGTTCACGACAAGAACGCGTGCAGCTGGCTCCTTGGTCTCCTCCTCTATGTCAAGACGATGCGCCTTCAGCCTGGGATCAGCGGGTGTTGCGATCACGATCGGGCGCCAGATCTAGGACCAAATCTGCTTTGCAAAGGAGTGTCTTCGCCAGCGCCATCTTCGTGGGCGCGAGGATGAACTTCGCCTTCTCAACCCGTGCCAGGGCCAGAAAAATCAGCATCGAAGCGTCTCACTCTCGTCGGTCTAGAGAAACCTATATTATACTCCCGCCTGCTTCGGCTCCTCACCGTCTGCTGATGAGCGCGGGATGAACAGCACAGCGGTCTCGCGCAAGTTCAAGCACATTAGGGCTCCAGCTAGCCAAACCCACGACTCCGGAGCAGCATCTTGTCAAGACACACGGCTTCTCGCAGCCATCTGGCCTTGCCCTCACCAATCTCATCAGCTTGCTGGAAGCCTAAGAGGCGAATCGCACATGCACGGCAACCCCATGTCGAGCAGGTATTCCACGCAGGGCTGCCCCGTAAGCTCAGGACCACCCCGGTTGCTCCAGTAGTACTGCCGCTGGAAGTCGTAGGCATCTGCCTCCAGTCTTGCTGAAGAGCTCTGGGATTTTGCTCCCAGTCCAAAACACACTGCGCAACGCACCATGACTCCCTTTCTGAAGGACCCGTTTCTACAACGTACCACCTTCCGGCAGAAGAGGAAAACTGCAATTGACATGGAGACCAACTTCTTCGTCACTCCAATACACCTATCTCACCGCTAAGAGGCATGTTATCCCAGAAGATCCGGACAGTGTCACCAGGTCTGCAAAGACCCCGAGCCCGACGCATCCTTTTCCCGAGGGCTGAAGAGGCCTCACTCGACAGAGAGAAGCGCAAGCAGCTTCGCTGAAGTCTCATGGAAGTCTCCCAAGCTCAGCTGGCAAAAGCAGGGCTTAAGCGAGTCAACCTGGGAGACCGGCTGAAGCACGTCGTCCGCGGGTCGGGCGCAGATCTGGCAAGAGGAAGCTCAGTCTTTGTTTCGGTCTACGAACCAGCCGCCAGGGCCAGGGAATGCATGCGACACAGAGCCAACATGGAAGTTGGATGCACTGGCCCCCGCCTCAGCAACAGGTCGTTTGGCTGCACCATGTGTCCGCGCGGCTCCTCGTCGAACGCTACCTGTACATACCTGCAAACACAGAAGCTTAGTCCGTCGCAGGACTTTCATGCTCTCACTACAAAAGGTACAGATCAGATGATTGCAGCTGTCCATCACAATCTTGATCCACTACACTCGTGGCCTTGTGGCAAACGCATGCAATCTGTGCCTGTTGGACCACAGCTGCACGTCCGGCACGACTTGCATCACCTTGAATTGTTTCCGGGCACAGGCGATGCAACTCATGCAGCCGAGGACAAGACTCGCTTTGGCCGCAAGTGTGGCTTTGAAGGATGCACAGGTTCCTGGCTCAAAAGACACAAGACCTAAGAAGCGCCATAATGATACTGACAAAGACAACCACAATGATACAACAGAAACAAACTTGAACACAAAGACCGTCTTAAACTGAAGGCAGAAAAGGAGGAGGAGTTGCAGCTGCAGTTGTGGTATTGTAGTTGCAGTAGTAGCCGTCGTCGTTGTGGTAGTAGCAGTAGCAGTCAGTAGCAGTAGCAGTTGCAGCAGTAGCACCAGCAGCTGCTAGCTGCTGGCTGCTGGCTGCTGGCCGCTGGCCGCTGGCTGCTGGCTGCTGGCTAACTGCTGACTGCTAGCTGCTAGCTGCCAGCTGCTAACAGCTGCCCGCCCCGCTGGTTGCAGCCTGCTGCCTGCTGCCCTGCTACCCTGCTGCCTGCTACCACTGCCACTGCTACTGCTACTGCTACTGCTACTGCTACTGCTACTGCTACTGCTACTGCTACTGCTATGCTACTGCTACTGCTACTACTACTACTACTACTACTACGACTACTACGTGCAAGTACCAGTATTGGTCATGGTAGTGCTGTAGCATTGGCACTTGTAGTCCACAAAGCATCGACGTCTGAGACAGTTGGCCTCCTTTGCAGCCTGGAAGGTCTTGCCAATCTTTTGGGCCAGCTCCTGTCCGAATTTTGAAAGCTCGCTCCGCTGCCCTCAAGCGAGTCAGTAGAAGGCTATCTGCCTCCTTGCTGTTGAAACCGGGAGGATCGCGGAAAATCTTCTTTTCAGCAGCATCCCGACCTGTCTTTGCTTCTGTATTTTGGTCGCATCACGACGAGCACAATAGTCCCAGAGCCACGAGCAAGTGCCTGTTGTGAAACGCTGCCGCTCTGTGAACACGTCCTTCGTTCAGCTTGGAGACTTCATAAGGCCAAGCTCTCAGGAACTGCGAAGTTGTCAGCCAAGTCTCATTGGTGATGAGCTGAGGAAGCTGCAAGCCAAAGGCCTCATCCAGGCTACTCTGCACTCCTACCACACGACAAGTCTTGAACTGGCCTGACGGTGGTAGGCATCCGTTGGCTCTGTCAGCCGTGCGAGCCTCGGTAGTTCTATGTTGTTCTACGAGTACTGTCTCGTTTCGCGGCAGCTTCACGCATCATGGCGAGCAATAGCTTCCGACTTCTGTGCTCGATTGACTTCCTCTGGCACCTGGCACACAAGGCCGTTTTCGGAGTGGCTGAGCAGTTGAGCCCATCAATTTGCCGGGCAGTGCGTCGTCATCCTTGAACAGCTGCGCATCCTTTGGTGGTGGCGGAGGTGCCATGGAGCCTTTGCAGCCAACACTCCGGGAGACAAATTCCCTCAGAAGCTTTGGCATCTCTAGGCGCCCCACCTTTTTCGGCTTCCTGTGCAATAGGAAAATCCGAATCGAATGTGGCACTGAATGCCCCGGCCTTTCCATAGGCATCGTCATCATCCATGTGAATTCGCGACCTTGACCACTTGTTCTACATAGTCTTCTCAAGTGGCACGACGCGAAGCTTGCCATGGTGTGTCCCAAAATGAGGTGAGCACAGCAGCGTATGAGTGGTAAGCAAGTACGGCCTGGAGGCAGATTGATCGGGAGCATGCAGAGTTCTGATCTCTCTACCTCTCCCACAGCCTCAATTGAGTTTCCAAGTCATCCAACTGATAGTCGCAGAGCCTCATAGCGGATCTCTCTGTCTCGATGTTTAGCTCAGGAAAGGGACGTGACCCTTGGGGCGGCACGCGCTCATGCTGGGTAAGGCCTTGAGCAGCTTCGGCACAGGTGGAAGAGCAAGCGCGTTCCGGTAGTCGATATCCTCCGCAAGCAGATCATGCGTGGGCGGGCCGACGCCGAAGCTACCTGAAAGCTGGCCGATGCCAGCAGACATCAAGGAAGCTTAGCAGCCGACCACCATCAGACTCGTCGTTGCCTCCTCCTCATCTTTGCCCTGGGCCGCTACCGAGACAGAGGCCCTCAAAAAAAGTGCGGAGCGACGATCCCACAAAAACCAGCCCTCAACGGCACTATGATTTCACTATAAGAGGTATTTCTGCTGTTGCTTGCAACGGGCATTGTAAACTCTCCACACAGCTGCCTGCGCATTGTCGCGCTTTCGCTTCCAGGTGAAGAAGCCTCAGCAACACAAGATATGGGCAGTTCTCGAAATTATGGTCCCTCTTTAGGTCCCCAAATTAGTACGGCAGCCTATAAACAAAGGACTCCAAAAGGGACCCCAATTGTGACAACCACCGATATGTCTGAGGGCTCTGGAATGTTGCTTCAAAGCCTCCGAGGCGAAACGGAACCTGAAACTCTTCAATTCGAAGATCCAACCCAGTCGCTTCCCAAGCTTCGATTGTCGGTGCCTTCCCAGACCCTCTTGGAGGATCTAGAAAGTAGATCCCCTAATTTGGGGCCCTATACTACTAAGGGTGCTTTATAGGAACCCCCATTAAGGGATCTACCTTTTTGGATCCTTCCGTGGTTCTGGGTTTGGGCAACAACCCGTCCATCGGTGGCTGGCTGGAGAGAAACAACAGCATGATTCTTCATGCACTATCTGCAAACCTCTGTACAAGTAGCAGAGTCCGCACTTGCCAACAAAAACACCCAAACTAAAAACTCACATGCGAAACAACTATGAAGGGGTTGGTTTCAATAGCGGCTGCGGTGATTGTTAGGTCCCGGAGTTGAGCTGAAGCTTACTCTGTGGCACCGTGGAGTACCATCGAGGCTCAATTTCGGGATATGTTTGCGGCTTGCTGCGGTGAGATCCCCCTGAGGTTCCTGCGTGGTTTTGTCTCCTTCTCCTCCTGCTTCTTCATGTCATCAGGGACAAGGACTCAAACGCCCACGTGTCCGAGGCTGTTGTACCGAGATACTGCGATCAGCCTTTACTCAAGCTGGGTTGCCAGAATGACCTCGGCCCTTTGCAAAGGTGACACGTGTATGTCCAGTGAGTATGCTCTTGATGGATTTCTGCGGCGCCGAAGGGCCGGAACTGGAACCAGACAGAACGGCCATGCAACAACGGGCTGCGTTGACTGGCAGGTGTCTGCACTTGGGGGAGAGATGTGGGACAAACGTATGCTCTTGCTCTCCATTTTCTCCGCGCTGGAACCACTGAAGTCCTCGATAAACCAATCGGCCTTGACCCGGAGACTGACAAGCTGTGCAGCTTTGCGACAACACGCGACCGGCAGACGCTGTCTCGCCTTCTTTACTCGGCTTCGTGTCGAGAAAGGCACGGGGTGGACCTGACCGCGGCAGCCGAGGCAATGGCACCAACTTCGACACTGCATGGCTTTCACGTTGAGGCAAAGACACTGCGGAACGTCGGCGAGCAATCGCTTGTGAGCGTCCGAGGAGATGCTGTTTCTGCCTGGTACGTGTCCAACACCCGCCCGGCACCGGGCACAACTCCCTCTCCGAGGCGCCCGCGCCGATACGCGGCCACTCCTTCTGCCACCCCAGGCTGATTCACCTGGGACGGACTCGGCAGAACGTTGACAGGCTCCAGCATGGCCCCAGACATCTGCGAGGCTCCAGGGCTCAGGCCATGGGACAGGCCACCTCGAGCACGGCCTCCAAACGTGGCAAGGTCTTTGCAGGTAGTGCAGGAGTAGCTTTTTACCAGTACTGTAGCGGCGTCATCGCCTCGCCTTGTACCTGCGATCTTCCAAAGCCTGCCGAGCAGAAGTGCTGCAGGACTTCAGAGACCCTCACGGCAGCGGCCTCTCCCAGGACGCAGCCCTCCTGGCATTTGGTCTCCCACCTTTAAGCTCATGCGCCCTGGCATCGGCAACAGCACTCCTTTGCAAGGAGGCTCGAAGAGAGAAGCTTGATGATGGGCTTGTGCAGGTCTGGTCGCCGTCGCCACAATGTCTGCACCTCTACAGCGATGTTCTAGGGGCTCAGGGTAGCGGCCTGTTGCAAAGCAACTGTCAAGGACCTGCCATGACCTGCCTCTGCAACAGGCAAGGCCAGGCAACGAACCTTCTCATGAGCAGATACCTGGCAGTGCACATGTGCGGTGTGCCTGGTAACTAGTATGCCATTGCAGCATCTGCACCAGCCTGCGTGGGCACATCGCAGCTGTCGCTCAACTGCGAGCCCGTGGGCTTCAGTGCATCCAGCAGATGGACGACCTTTGGATCTTTCGAGGGATGCGAAAGCTTAGACTCGACATGACATCGTAAACACCTGCTCCGGTTTCTTCGCACCAATCCTAAGTAGAGTGCTTCCCCGACAACACTTCCCGGCTTCAGCAGGGTGATGCGGCGTCCAGCTGCGGAGACCTCCACAGCACAGCTGTTTCTGCAATCGATGAGGCCCAAAGTACACATTTTGCATGCCGTGCTATGTCAACAGGCCCTTTGCCTCACAGCTTCCTTCTGCGATGAGGTACAAACACTTCTCCTGCTACTCATCTGCCGCACATCGAAAAAGTAGGCTGAACCTGAAGTGCACGGACGTCTGTGCGCCTTGTTGTCCACAGTTCCCTGCGGGGAAGCTAGCCTCGCGTAGGCAAGCTGTCTTAAACCACGGAGTCAGCACAGAGCCCCGGGCAGGTCACCGGCATAGAATACTGTCCAGTCGCCGTAGTAGGCCAGATCAGCAAACCTGACTCTGGGCGAAGAGAATTCAGCTCAGCTGTATCTTGGCCCAGGCCCCGTGCTCTCGAACGCTGATTCGACTCCGAAGCAAATCATAAAGCTTCCTGGGCGGTAAGCGGATGAAAGCGGCAGGCTCTGGCGTGGCGACAGCTGCGAAGCGCTGGCTGAGGTGACGTCTCTTCATCTTCTGTCAAGGGGGGATCCTCGGCATCTGCAACCGGTGAGACGCGTGAAAGAGTCGTACGAGCAAATCTTCCATCGGGAGCCCGGCCGGCTGCTCGCCTTCCCCCATCATCTGAAAAATGTTCACCATGACGTAGACAAAGCACCAACCAGCCTCTCTGCTCGCGCCCCCATTTGTCGTCGAAGTCACGGCCACTTCCCGAGGAGGCGGCCGAAAGCCACTGGCACTGGGGCTGCAGCCTTCATGCAAGCCAAAGAGCACCACCAGGTAAAATAGAAGGAGAAGAATTTTAAAACAAAGACCAGCAAGCTGTTTACTTTCCCGAAGCGACCAGGCCGAGCCCCGGACAGCTGGAAGAGAACGACCATGCCGCAACCAGAGATGGCCCAAACCCGCAGCCACCAGATATCGGTGACCCCGTACCTAGAGGAACACCACATCGTCAGTCTATAGAATGAGCTTCAGGTTCAAGTGCTGAGATGCAAGCTCGAGCATTCCCATGATGTATCCGGCATGGCCTTGGCAAAGTAAAACATAACCGCCCACCCCCACGCTCCCCAAGCACGGCTCCACCCCGTTCCCGGTCCCCTCGAGAGCCCAAAGACAAGGAGCCGATGGAGGTGCTCATCGGCCCGAGCACTGCGCTGTGCCGCAGAACGAACCTGGCATGACGGATCATTCCCATGACGGACATTGACGGACATGTCTGCCATGTATCGTACAGAGCATGCACGGACTAGAAATAGTGGCATGTACGCATGCAGCTATGTAGCTACTCGCTTGCACATGTACTTGATGATTTCTGATGGCAAGAGCTTCAACGAAGAGTGAACCCATAGGCAGCCTCAGGCGGGCTTGGGCCAGGCGAGATCGCGCCGTTTGAGGGCTTTGCTCCAGCGGACTCTGCTCAAAGGCACAATGCCTCACAATCGCACAGGAGCAAAACGCAACAAAAGGCATCTCCAGACCCCCGAAAGGTAGCATTCTAACTCAACCGTCATGCCCGCAGTCTCTGCTGCGGCGGGCCTGAGTTGGATGCTGCATGCAGATGGAAACCGCCGCAGATGGCGGCAAGTCCTTGCGCTTCTTGCGTTGCGGGGAAGGCCAGGACTGCCGACAGATGCGCCAAGGCTCTGACAGACTGGTCACCCATGCCACCATCGCTGTGGGCTGCCATGGAAACTGACGGAAAGCATGCCTTCACTGTTCACTGATGTTTGCTGAACAAGGCGTCACATACCAGGAAGGCCACAGGGTGAACTGGTCATGGTTAGCTTTCGCGACGTTGCGCATCTGACGATGCATCACTGGGATTCACTGGGTGCTGCTGCCTCGGCTACCAAGTCAACCAATAAACGCAAGCTCTGCAGGCTTGAGCCAACTCCGGATGCGCACCACACAACCTTTTCAAACTCCCACCCCTCACAGTGCGGTTCTGTTGTTTTCAATCAATGGGAACGGAGAGATCGCTATCGAGTTTGGCAGAGCCGAGTAGAGCTCCTGCATTCTGGCCTACTGCCAGCTGCTATGCGGGCAGAGATGCGACCACCACAGCTCGGAAGGGCGTCGACTCCTCTGATAGCAGCTGAACCTGACCTAAGCCAGGTGAAACTCAAGAAAAAGTGGCTCGGCGAGCTTCAAAGATGCTCGCCCTGACAAGGAAGCGTGCAAACGGCCCGTCTCAATCGTTCGGGTTCGCCTCCTCCGATGTCCTGCTCCAGGGAAAAGCAGCTCTCCGATCGGAACAGACAGTCCCGTCTACCAGCTCTCCTCAGGTCCATTGCAGAGGTGCTGGCATAGAAGCAGGAGCCAACGGCCTCTGCTCAGCCACACGGAGCTTGTTCGCAAAATTTGGAAGTGATGACTCCGCTTTCCCCCGAACAAACAGTCCATCCAAGAGATTGGTTGCATGTTGTTGTCAGTTCCGGTAACCACCCCCGGCCCACCTGCCCTATCGACACCAGCAGCGAGAAGAGCACGAGCAAGTTCACCTCATGCGAGAAGGTCGTAGAAACAGACAGACTTTTCTATACCAGCTACCACAAGTTCTACGTCTTCACTGCAAGACGACGTGTCTTCACTTTCATTATTCATCATCGTTGATCAAGACATGAGACATCACTCCAGGGCCTGGCAGTCCATGATGAAGAAGAACTTCAGGCTACATTGCACCTCGGCGTTGCTTGGCTTTCTGGCTCGATCTTTGGGCTGCCATTGCGGCATGACGTCTGCGATGCACTCCGAGCACGAAGCCACATCTTCGCAAAAACAGCGTGAGAAGGATGTGATTGACATCGTGAACTCCTGGGACGCATTTTGGGGGTGCGAGACTTCACCACAAACTCTGGCCCCTGGCGTCGAGGCCTGCGTTTCCTGGCAGCTGATCGGCAAGTAGTGCCTTCTTAGCACCTCATCGCTGGACTTGGACTCGCCAGAGGCAGCGGAGCTACCGGTGGCTAAAAAAAGACAATGTCCGCCAAGGCCGAGAGGCCAAGTGAAGCAACGCCAAATCGTTGAAGTGCGCGAAGTTCGCGGCCTTGATGGTGTTCACCTGAGGGGGGGGGTCGGCGAGAATCCGCCACGGCCGCCACTAAAGCAGCTTGCGCTTCCTTGAGCCCTGGGCCGGCATGGCGCGGCCAAGCCGAAGGTCTGAGGTGTCCTTCTATGACTCTATGAGACTATCAAGACTCAAGTTCTGTCACGCAGATCCGTCCGAGCACATGAATAGAAGAGCACCAGTGAAGCCCTGCTTGAACTTTCCCCCTGTCTCCAAAAAGTGCATCCTCCTCCTCGCGGTGAGCCGGAGGTCTGGCTGCAATTGGCGCCCCCTCCATCCTAGATACAGGGTCATGCATGGCGAGTTAAGATGAGCGGCCAAACGCAGAGAGGAAGGGCTGACGAAATCTTTCAGGTCATGGAAGCTGTCACTGTCATGAAACAACTCGGCTGACACCGTGCTGCATCGCATCGATGCCAGGAACGGATGTTGGTGGTTCCTCTACACTTACATCACATTACATCAGATGCAAGGATCACCAGCAGCCTCCGACGACACAGACAATGCCAGCGTAACGTAAAGGTGGAACACCAGGCAAGCTAAGCACAGCCATGTGCAGTTCTCATCACGGGTAACGGATTCCGGTGGTTCCTCTGCACTTACAGTCAGGAACAGGCTGCACCCTGATCAAATCATTGGACTGACCAAAGCGGCAAAGCCAAGAGTATGCAGCTCGAAGCCCAAATCACAAAACCGCCTCCGTCGACACAGACAATGCCAGCTTGAGTATCGTAGCGACCCGGAAAGCGTGCGTGCTTTTGCTACACGCACGCTATAGGTCTCGAAGGAAACACGCTTGAAAAAGGCAGCAGCTTCTCCGCCAAGTAAAGGCGCAACACCAAGCAAGCTAAGCGCAGTTATGCGCAGTTCTCATCACGGGTAACGGATTCTGGTGGTTCCTCTGCACTTACAGTCAGGAACAGGCTGCACCCTGATCAAATCATTGGACTGACCAAAACGGCGAAGCCAAGCACGCAGCTCAAAGCAATAATCCTGGAGACCCGGAAGGCAAGCGTGCTTTTGCTAGCACATTTACACAAGCACGCTAGGTCTCGACTGAACACGCTTGAAAAAGGCAGCAGCTTCTCCGCCAAGTAAAGGCGCAACACCAGGCAAGCTAAGCGCAGTTATGCGCAGTTCTCATCACGGGTAACGGATTCTGGTGGTTCCTCTGCACTTACAGTCAGGAACAGGCTGCACCCTGATCAAATCATTGGACTGACCAAAACGGCGAAGCCAAGCACGCAGCTCAAAGCAATAATCCTGGAGACCCGGAAGGCAAGCGTGCTTTTGCTAGCACATTTACACAAGCACGCTAGGTCTCGACTGAACACGCTTGAAAAAGGCAGCAGCTTCTCCGCCAAGTAGAGGCGCAACACCAGGCAAGCTAAGCGCAGTTATGCGCAGTTCTCATCACGGGTAACGGATTCTGGTGGTTCCTCTGCACTTACAGTCAGGAACAGGCTGCACCCTGATCAAATCATTGGACTGACCAAAACGGCGAAGCCATGCACGCAGCTCAAAGCAATAATCCTGGAGACCCGGAAGGCAAGCGTGCTTTTGCTAGCACATTTACACAAGCACGCTAGGTCTCGACTGAACACGCTTGAAAAAGGCAGCAGCTTCTCCGCAAAGGAAAGGCGCAACACCAGGCAAGCTAAGCGCAGTTATGCACAGTTCTCATCACGGGTAACGGATTCTGGTGGTTCCTCTGCACTTACAGTCAGGAACAGGCTGCACCCTGATCAAATCATCGGACTCCGCAGCTGAAACGCTGCATATCCAGCGACTCATAAGCCTGGTCAATCGTGTAACAGCGCAAATCATCGGACTGCTAGCCAACAGCAGCGCGAAGACATCAACTACCAGCTCTTACACTCTTACACACATCACCCGCCTCCCTGCTAATGTACCATGTCGCACACAATGTCGAAGACTTCTTTTGTAAGGCATGCATCGCTTCGATCAGTCGCGTGCGCGCAGCGGTTCGTTGGTTTCGGCGGGGGTGGCCGTGGACGGAAGAGCCTCCGGAACTGAACCCTACGATCCCAGCCCGATTCATGCGGGATGTGAGGCTATGCTGCCCTCCAACGCACCAAATAGCTAGAAGCCGCCCAGCGACATCCCGCTGTTGTCCCGGCCCTTGAAGAACAGGTCCGGCTTGTCGTAGGAGACTGGCGGAGTGCCAGGATGTGCCAGCTGGTTGCTTTTTTTGTCAAACGAGCAGGGTTCACAATGGTCCCTGCTGCAAAACATTCCAAAAAGAAGCCGCAGCTGAACCTGAGCTGTGTGGCTTTGCCGCAGCCGCACTGCAGGCAGGTCTCTCGGCACCCGACAGCGAAAACGAACACGCCGATTGCGAAAGCAAACGTACTCGCCTCAGGACCGGAACATCCTATAGCCTAGCGTAGACGCTAGGTTTGAGGCCCCAGGCCGTAGCACGAAGCAACTGTACACCAGCGCAACACGACCAAACAGCTTCGATCTGCGGTTGTCTCTCACAGCCTCTAGGCCTACAGTTTCTCTGGTTGACTCAGTGCAGCACGGACAGCAGGAAGAGCAAGCTCGACCTTGAGATGCACAGATTCAGGGATATGATTCAGGGTGTCGGCATGGGACGAATGGGACTCGAAGAAAATCATCACGTGTCAATTCGCTTTAAATGTCATGCTGATCGGGGTGCCATCTCGTAGATGGATCGATAGGTACAGATAGGTAGCCCGATAGATGTACAGACATCTCGCTGCCGATGTTGCCTCTTGAATGCGAGTGTTTGGACTCCTGTTGTCGACCATGAACAGTTCGACACAACGCCCCCACTGTAATATTTGTGATACTGTGCTGACCCCTCACTTTGCCAAACTTTGTCATGGCTCCGTTGTTGTATGTTAGACAAGCGTGACCTCGCAGATAAGATGTTGTCGCTGCATGGTGTCGTCCAGCACCGAAGATGTGAGCACGCACGTTACCCTACCCACCTAAACTCAAGCCATTCCAATGACCTACTTTCGTCCTTCAACCGCATGACAAGGCGACACAATCCTCACGGGTCCCAAAGTGTTCCCGGAAGCTCCGAGGGCCGCTCCCGCGCTTCATCAGCGGCAGGCAGAGCGCGTCCAGGAGCATCGAGCACCTCGCTCCCGCCTCGGACCGAGGCTCGTGCGCTGCGAGCGACAGCGCATGACAGCGCGTGCGATGCTCCCGATCTTTCCCTTTCAAAAGAGAGAAAGTGCGAGAGAGAGAGAGAGAGAGAGAGAGAGAGAGACAAAAATCTACTGTGCCGTCCTGTCTGTCTGTACGCATGTTGGAGCCGCAAAGGATCTTTTGCATTTTGACGCCTGTTCACCGGGGCATCGGCACCAGCCAGCCACGCCAGAAAGTCCCAGCTGTTGAAGGGATTACTGCAAGCCAGGATAGGGCAGACATACTGCCTTCACAGCTCTTGCAGGTACTCACATCCCACCTCCTGCCATCGCCCTGGCGCACTGGCTGAGTCAGGCAAACGGCAGCCTCAGAGCAGGCTCGTCAGAAGGGACTCCTGCGAAGGCATCTTTCCATACTATCCTCCATTGTGCCAGGGCAGCAGCAGCCAATTCCAAGGTGGCCTGCGTGCCCAGAAGGAAGACCTCGGCAAGCAAGCGTGAGGGGCACCACGCGCGACGACACAGCGGGCCTCCAGCACACAACATCAAGTTGTAGTTGCACCCTTGTTTGCCAGGGCCCGGACGCACGCCAGCGCCACATCCATGGGCGGCAGTGCCTTTCAAAGGATGCCATGCGCACTCCAGAAAACTCACCCAAGCCCATCAGGCCGCAGCCTTCGTGCCGGCTTCTTCGACTCGAAGGTAGTAAGCGTACCTAGCAACAGCCGGTTTCAGCCAGGCTGCAACGAAGGCCAAAACCTCTTGTCGCATGGCACCCACAATAGCTCAGAGTGGACCAGTACGCAAGGAAGTTGACCTCAGCTTGCCGGGAGCCCTGCAGCCGGATTCAGTGTCGAGAGAGAGATCAATGTGGACGGATCGTAAGCCGGACACCACCAGCAGAACACGTATCCTGAAATTGACACAAGGCTCTTTTAACAAAGATGGCTTGGCTATACTCAACCAGAGTATGCACCTTCGAAAGCACCGTTGTCTAAGATCGTAGACATCTGGCAGCGTTGCTTGCTCCGCATCCTTCAAACATCTTCAAACGATGAACGGACTTCAAGTCTCTTCAGGAAGCATCTGACGCTTGCCTCAGCCTGCCGCTGTCTCGTACTGCCTTCCTGGCAGCGCAAGGCGACTGAAGTGTGTGGCTCAAGATCCTTGAGTCCGCACCTCCTGCTCCAGCAAGTACTCACGAAGGACTTGAGTGTCGTAGCGACTCGCCTGGGGAATCCGTGCCGGAAGTACGCAAAAAACGCAGGCCCGAAATCCCTGTGTCTCGCGCCAGGTCTTCCAAGTCTAGAGCGTTCTCGGACCTCACGGGCATCAGGGACGCTGGGGGCGTTCGCTTTCGGGAGGCGGCTATCCCTGCGCCTCGCCATCACGGACGCTGGGCGAGTCGGGGACAGAAGACCCTTCAAAGGAAGGATCGATGAACCGTGATTAGCCAGATTTTCCGTGCTGGTACGCGATGGGGCCCCTTGGAGGGCGATACTCTCAGGACGCACTTGAACTCTCTATAAGCCTGCCATGTCAAATGCGCGCTTCTGCGTTCCTTGCGCATGCAGCCTGGAATGGCGACGGACAAGACAAGATCAGGAGAAGAAAGAGCAGATGTGATGAGCATGTCGTCGATTGTCAAACCATCGCTCCGTCTTTCCTCGCTGAGTCTTTGCTCTATGCGAGAAAGGGCGTCCTGCAGCACAGCAAAGCACTGCACCACAGCCATGGATCATAGAGTCTCAGATGCAATCGTGCACACTTCCCTCTGATTCTGTCCTGAGCCTGCAGGTCCATGAAGTTATCGGCCACCGCGTGGGAAAGGTCCTGCCTTGCCAGCACGGTCCGGAGACTCGACCAGGGCTTTTTCGGTGTCTCTCGCTTCATCGCTCTACCGCTTTGGCCGCACCAAGGCCGCACCGGGACCGCGCCGGGGCCGGGGCTTGGCTCCGAGTAGGTCGCCCAGCGCCTCCCTCACGAGGCCGCGCCGCAGCAGTGCACGGCCGTGTTGAGGCACCTTCCGGAGCCACGGGTGACAACCTGCCTCCGTGGCTTTGCAAGACGTCGTGACGGGGCCTCAGCGAGCATCGCCGTCGCTGTGGCCTGCAGGTACTAGCAAGTTGTACCGACCAAAGACCAAGCAATCGTCGTGAAGGAAAGAAGACTCGCTGCCGTGAGAGGTCTGCTTCCGCATGCTTATGCTGCGGTGCTGAGATTTCCTTCGCAACCCCAATGAAGACACTGCACGAAATGGTCGGATTAGACTTGCCTCCGACTGTTGAAGCTTGCCGCACTGCTGTTGCAGAGAGGACACCTGAAAGGATGCACGTGGTACGAGTCCTACAAGGCTACAGCAGAGCACAGCCTCGCACATCAGCGCAAGCCATATATCCTGAGCCTTAAACAGAGCAGGCAAAAACTCTTGCCCCTGTTGCGCCAGGATGTTCCAAAGGGAGTTCGTCTGAGCAGCGCGGCACCAATCTGGCGCGCGGCTTCTGCTGCTGACTGCCAGGCCTCTGGAGTGCGGAACTGCGGAGCATATGATCCCATTCCCGCAAGCGTTCTTCCCACTCTCCGTTGCCAAGTCGAGGACCGACAAGGCCTTGTCGAAGTCATGCTTCTCGAAGGCCTGCTGTGAGCAGGTTTGGGGTCTCCTTGCAACCTTGTGCTATTGAACTTTAAAATGAAAACCGCGGTCACGGCTGGCTACATTTTTCAAGTAGCCGCGGTTTGTCTGCGGTGCCAACGTGTCGCCCACAGGCTTGAGCAAGGTGCCAGCCGCAGCGTTCCTCGTAAGGATCGTTGCTTCTGCCGAAGCTGCAGACACGACAAGAAGACCTTCGGTCGAGCCGAGCGACTGCTTGCCGCCGCGCGCCCCATCGACAAGCATCCAACCGCCTGAAGCGGGCGCTTCGACGAAGTTGATGCGAGCTTTGCTCGATTGCTGGCCTCCCTCCAGCTCGACCCAGCCGTCAAAGCCGCGACCGGTGCAGTAGACGATCTCGCCAGGCTTGCGGGCCTAGGTGGGGTGGGGTCAGCCCATCAGCCTTGTTTGAGGTGAAGACGCTCACGGCTGCATCGCGCCGCCACTGCAAGTTGGCCGAGAAGCCCCCAGCAGCTCGGTCGCCGTGCTCGGGCCCTCAGAAGCTGTCGCTCTCGGAAGGTGAACGAAAGAGAAGCGGAGCAAAGAGGGCACCCAACCTTGCGAACGAATACCATCGGTGCGAAGACCACCTCGTAGGAGGCGTGCACCACCTCCCCTGGTCTCTCGGCAGCTTCCTCCCATCCCTGACGTGACGGGGCGAGGCATGGCAAGGCTACGTAATGCCACGTGACCATCTTCGCTTCATGCTTCATCCTCAAAGTCGACGTGCAACCGGACTCAAATAAGGGAATCTACAGAGTCCTGGAGCCTTCTCTGCAGGTTTAGCGTTCACAGCCCTGCCTCCGGGAGAATGCTGCTGAGGGCATGGAGCTGAATCTCTGGATTCAGGAGAGAGACATAGATGGCCAAGTTTGAGTCCACGCAGACGAGATGCTGACATCTAGACAGGGCAAGTGCATCGATGAGCGCATCTTCTGCATCAGCTTCGGCACAGGGACTCCTGTGCACCTGAGATCATATCAGCGACCATGAGCGCACTGCGCAGCCTAGCCTTTATGACGATCCTTCATTATAGAATGATGTGAACTTCTCATCCTGTTGTGCCTCTGCTGTGCTGCTGCACTCTGCGCCTCATTGTCGATGCCATCTTCGCGAACTCCACCCGGCGAACGCTTCACACGCCGATAACACAGCTCAACGTCTCCATCTCGTGGGAATGCAACCTCGAATTCTTCCACCGCCTGCATCGTATCTTCAGGACTCACTCCGACCACCCTCTGCGCTTGCAAGCCGGTTGCTTCGGTCATGAACGCGAAACAGCCCCGGCCTTTACATCATCCGTAGCCAAGAAAACCAGCTTACGCTGCTTTTCACTCGCAGACAGTATCTTGTGTGCTTTGGCGATAAACTCTGCGCAGGACGGAGCTCGCTGCGACAGCTGGCAGGCAACCATCTCCGAGCAAGCCAGCCTCTTGTGCACGCCCACAACGAGAGCCTCCTGACGAGACTGTTGACATACTGTTGACACCGGAAGGAAGAGCTAGAGCAGCTAGATCGACGAGCGTCCAAAAGCAGCTCGACAGCAGAAAGGACAGAAGGCAAGACAAGCGGCTCCTCAGCCCAGCTTGTGCATTCATCCAACTTTCGCTGCACATGCTGGACTGGTTGGAGAACACCTGTGAGAGCTGCTTGGCAACTTCACACACAGAGACTCGATACTTCCATGCGAGACATTGCTGCCCAGCCACGAATGGCTGCTGCGTATCGCAGGCGGAGCTCCTTCAGAGCGTCGTCGGGCAGGGACCAGAAGTAGCCCCGGAGCATGTTCATGAAGAGGCAGTTGATGCGCCCCGGCCTCAGTGGCCAGTGGCGCTGGCGCTGGAAGGCACCGGGGGGGGGGGCCGGGCCCCGCAGGGGAACTTGGGCCCGGGCATGCTCAAGCTCTCTGATGGCACTTCGGTCGCAGAGCCTGGGACTCCGCAACTAGAAGCCCAGGAGCCGCCAGGGATCTCTCTGTGAGGGCAGGCTGCGGCAGCGCTCACCGGCTTCGAAGAGGTGCCCAAAGAGGTCGAAGCCCTCCGGGCCATACTGAAAATGGCCTTCCAAAATAACCGGATAGAGATTCGGGTTATGGGAACTGCAACCGTTGCTGCCTTCGGAGCCTTTTCGCTTCCAATCAACCAGCACAGGCACTCCTCGCAAGGTAGCAACAAGCAAGCAGAAGAATCCTGAAGCCTTGACTTGTCGAGACCGCCGAGACCTGCCTGGCTTCGCCAAGAGCAGTGCATCGCACACCTGAGGGCACTGAAAGGCAGGGGGCTGATCTCCTCGGGCAGCTTAGCTTCGACCACTACTGGGACGCCTGGAGGACATTGGCAAATAAGCCGTTGTCGTGGTAGGGCGTAAGCACAGCTGAATAGGCCGAGCCCTGGAGGGCCAGAAGCTTTTTCACCTGCATGACCAAGTCTTGCCCAACAAGTCTCCAGGCGCTACGAGGCTACTCGTAACAACCATCCAAGGCCACGGGACCATGGACAGCGAAGTCTTACAGGCGTAAGAACTCAGCGAAGGCCGGCCAGCTCCCCCTGAAAACACGCAAGAGCTGACTTCGCTTTTGGCCCCCCGTGAGCTGCGGCCGAGCTGCGGCAGGAAAGCAGCGCATGCCGGGCTCCTGCGAATTTTGAAGCTTCGTTGCAGCTTTCGTGGAACACTTTCCACTAGAGAGGCCCCAAATCCTGCAAAACCCCTGGGCAGGACCGCAAGGGGGGCTGCCACCAAGATCCAGACAATCCCCAGAAGCTCCGTCTTTAAGCGAACCCGAGCTGTGCCTCGCGCAGAGGTCAACTAGGACATGGTGCCCCAAGGGTGAAAGCTCGGAAGTAACCCAGCTAGGCACACTTTGGCGCCTTCAAGTAGCAGAAACTCACGCGGCTGGCCGCTTCAGTGTGAGCCGAGTGCACTCAAACTTCACATCGGAAGTCAGGCACGTCCCTCAACTGCAGAGCCTGTATGATTGTTCTCTGAAGCATCGCTTGCCTGAAGGTTGTCACCAGCCCGGCCTGGGTCACACTGCTACTGCGAGCCCGAGAAAGGCCTCTTGAGAGTGTGGGAGGGGACTGCGATGGGTTGCTACAGAGCGGTATACCGGCTTGCTCCAGCCGACGGCGAAAGAGGAAGGCCAGCATCGCACGCTCGATGCGACGCGCTGCCTCCTCCTGCCTTAGCCTGAGGAAGATCAAGGCGCTAGTCTTCATGAAATCAATGAAGTCACCCAGCACATAACACGCTGCCCCAAGGATGAAGCACCAGGCGCCCAGGATCTCCATGCCCTCCTTGCAGCCCTGATTTGGCATGAAGCACACCGATCCCATCACGAACAAGATGCCGCCCAGCTCGTAGATTCCGCAGGTGGCCACAGACCAGTGGATGAAAGTGCGGGGGGAGGAATTCAGCGTCAGAGCATTCAGGAAGGTGGCAAAAACAAAGATGATGGAACCCAGAATGAACATCCAGATTGCCAAAAATAAAACATCCTCCTCCGCAACAACTTCGGACGGAAGCCGTTGGGTGAGCATCTGAGGGTGCTGAAAGTAGATCGTCCCAACCAAGAAGACCAAGCCACCGGATAAATACAGCAGCTTTTCAGATCTTGGCCCGATCATGACGTGAAAGTCGGAATCCGCCGCCTCTGCATCACTCCCAAGCCACTCGTAGTGAGTGCTTGTCGTCGTCCGCGTCGCCGTCCCTGTGCCCGGCAGTTTAAGGCCTGGCACAGAACCGACGGTATGGGTCTGATGCTGGCACAGCAATTCTCCATTTCCGCCGGGGGGCGTTTCGTTGCTATGGATGTTGTATTCCGCAAGATTCATGCTACTGCTAGTGTTTGTAGCATTCGTGGCAGTAGTAGCAGCAGTAGCAGTAGCAGCAGCCGTAGTCGTAGCCGTATCGGCAGCATTAGCAGCACGAGTAGCAGTAGCAGCAGTAGCTCCTCGAGTAGGAGCTTGACCAGGAGCAGTTGTCATCGTGCCGTCGTCATCGTAGTAGTCTTGAGGGTCTTGCTCATTCAGGCATTCAGCATTCCCTACACTATCCTTGCTGACATATGGTTAGTGTCGTTACTGCGTTTATCATGAAGATCGCTTTGTATGTTCGTAAGGGTGACGTAGCTGTCACTGCTTGGTGCAGAGGCTAGCTCTTAGCTGGGAGGGGCCCAGGGCGCTACCAAGGCGCCGCAGAGAAGCACATCTTCGAAGATGTCCATCCCGGAGATGAAGGCTAAGAGGGCGCTGCCGATGATGAAGAGGTTGCAGCCCAAGTCCACAGCCCACTTCTGTACGACAGCGCTTTCTACGAGCCGCGGCCTGCTCACGACGTTCACCTCGATTTCGTCCGTGGCAAGTCGATCGATGCCTATGGCCGTCAGACTTCCGTTCAAGGCCTCCTTTATGGATGAAACCGGAGGTAACGAGCGCTCTAAGGCGCTGGCGCTGTAACCTTCCCGGGGATAGATATTCACATCGAATAGCATTGCGTTGTCCAGGCTGCAGGATGTTGTCTTCCTCCACTGCAGGTTCGAGTGGTGAGGTTTGATGCGACTGCTCTTGTCTGATGCGAGTAATCCGGTGAAGTTCCGCTCCAGCTGTTGAAAGAGCGAGATGTTTGACGTCATGACCTCGTTGACATCTACTCCCTCCACAACGAATGTGAATGACACTGTCAGCTCTCTTTCCTTGATCGGAAGAAAGAGAAATGAACCCACCAGAAATAGTAGGTTGGAGGTCAGACTCAGCAAAACATAATAGAGTGGGAATGCAATTCTCCAGAAGGAGTTCCTGGCAAGACTATTCTTCCCCTTTCTCTGGCCAGCACAGTGCTGAAGCAGTATAGGGAACACGGACTCGCGCGGACGCTCTGAAACCAGATGCACCATGGCGCAAACAGGTCACAGCGCCCATGAGGCAAAGAAAGTCTATCAAAAGCCAAACACTGCGGAGCTGCAGAGCTACACTCTCGAGATGCCCACTGACGAATGCCGCTAAGAATTAGTGGGTGGAGCAAAACCTTCAATATTCGTGATAAACAGAACAGAGCATGCATGCTGAAACAGCCCCATGCTGTTAACCTTGGGAAATATGGTAGGTTGATCTGCGTGAATGAACCGAAAATGTAACAGCTATGCAGGGACTCGTCCATCAACAGCAGGCAAAGCCAAGCCGCAAGCTAGCTATGCTCTTAAACTGGGTTGAAGTTGCTCCGAGGCAAAACCCTGTGCAAGCTCTCGATGCACCTGTCAATACACTGGCTGCCGCATCGTCGGGATGGACACCGCGGAGGAACTCTCTCAAGGTGTCGAGCAGCACGCGCACCTCTCCATCGGGATCCTGCGCGTCAGATACACAGGAGCCCACAGGAGCCCACAGGAGCCCACGGCGGTGCCCCCCGAAGGTCCTTGTTGGCATCGGGCAAGGCAGCGGCGAAGAGCGAAACGAGGTCCTGAAAAGCTCAGAGAGCAGCCTGCATGCGTCTCTGGGTTCAGAGTCCAGAGCCAAGGCCGGGCCTCAAAGCCCTTCGGCTCGGCAGACGCAGACGCAGACGCTCCCGGCATGCCGTCACATGGGATCTCTAGAGTGGAGCGTTGAAAATCACAATGGCCCACTGAGATAGCTGGCCGACGACCACTCGTGCGATTTTCGGGCTGCTTGCAGTCAATGTCACTGACGAGCTTGAGCAAGTTCGGCTGGCGACGCAGCAAGAACGTTGGGAGCTGTTGGCGGAGGGAGCCAAATTAACCCAGCTGTGACAAGACTCGCCAAAGCTCTCGCGGACCCTCGCTGACAAGCCAGGGTTTCACAGTTCAAATCGTGGCACTGTCCCTGCCGCCTGCCTCATCTCCCAGGTTCTTCATCGAGCTCACCAGATTGAGGTCCACACGAGCTGGAAGGGGTCAGCGACGCACCCACGACCACAAGACTTGGAAAACACACGACCTCGCCCGGTGCCTCCTCGGCCTGGATCCGCGAGGCTTCTCACGCCACGGATCGGCCCGGGCCCTGGCTGTTCTTCAGCCTTCCTTTCGGGCCCGAAGTGCTCGTCGAGGACACGCTCCACCAGAGGCCTTCAACGACTCTGCTCCCTCTCAAGAGTAGTAGTGGCGAAGCGCAGCAAGTACTGAGAGAAGCGCCCGACCGTGTTCCACGGGATCTCCTGGCAGACCGGCCAGGTCATCGGGTCCTGCCGGTGAAGCCACGGCCGAAGCCACGGCGCAGGACGCCCCGCCGGGCCCATCTCCCGCCTCGTCGTGCTCGTCATCCAAGGCTTGCGCCAGCCTGTCCCACTTGCTGTAGTCGTGTGACCTGGGCGTGGTAGACTTCTCATGCCAGTGTCACTTCGATGTGACGAAACAGCCCACGAGATCGCGGCGCTTGCTGCATCAAGTGCCACAATACTCAATAGGGGATGACAAGCGCTGACTCAGCCGCAAAACGATGGAAGGATTGAAGAATAGCGTAAACATGCTGTTGCGTAGGCAGATGGTCAGCAGTGTCGATCTTGGGTACAGGATCCGGCAAATTTTGAGGCACACGGCAACGGTGCACAAAAGTCCGAAAGGACAAGCGGGTCGCTGCCGAGCTCCAACTAGCGATTCATCTCCTACTCCTACTCGCAGCTGTGAGTCTTCACCCGTGGCGATACAAGTACCTCGTGAAAAGATGTTGGAAGCTGGAAGCGAACCTAGACGAGAGAGACATGAAAGCATCGGACTGCACATCTAGTCTTCAGATTTTGCCACCTGACGCACTGTACATGGCAACGCCAAACCCTGGTGACGCGTGACGGATAGACGATTGTCTGCACCCGCCTCCGTCCAATGCACCCATTGCTAGAGTAAGGCAAGCTGCGATTCGTTGAGCTCGGTCATTGAATGGCGCTTCTTTGATCTACTGGCCAACGTCCCCGAGCTTGTGCCCGCTTCATGCGGAGAGTGATTAAAGATTCGGCCTTTCAAGAAACCCTCTCGCCGTGCTTGGAGAACCTCCGGCGTCGCTCGCGCTCGGGGGACCATTGCCACGGTGACCGACAAACGGGCCAGGGTCGGGCTCGCATGACTCGCGGACGGAGCGACCAGGCCATCCCCTACACGCCCACCGTGGATCGTTCGGGAGTCCCAGAGAACGAGATCTCCCGGCTCGGCGAGCAACAGGATCGCGTCTTCGTAGGATCGGTTCAGGGGACACCAATCTCCGGAGTAGCGCAGGTGAGGGAACTCGCGGCAAAGTTCTGCCTTGGCATCCGGCCGATGGCTCCGGGGCAAGACTTCCAAGCCGCCCGTCCCTGAGGAGACCGCAAGCAGTGGGACCATGCCCTGGACGGTTTCAAGCTCCGGCTTGCTGAAGGGGTTCTGATCCAGGTGAAGGCCCTCTGTGCAGGGACGCCAAGCTGCCTCAGTCTCAGGGTCTCAGGGCCAGCTGTCCCGGGCGCGTTTGGGGAAGGGCCGAGGGAAGGGGCAGGGCCCCGGCCTCCAGCCACCAGGGCCTCCAGATGAGGAGCGCGTCCATGGACACAATGAGGTCAGAGCTCCCCCAAATCCGGGCAAAGGCATCCTTGACTCCGGGGCAAGCTCGGACATACCAAGCTCCCGGATCCTGGGCGATCGTGGTGTTCAGACCCGTCTTGCTCAGCGGCCACTTCTTCCAGGACTCGAGCCCCTCTCGCGACACGCCTTTGTAGGCGGCTTCGAGGTCTGTCCAAAGCAAGTCCTTGGCCATCTCCACCTGAGTCACTGCAAGGCCGCCTTTGGCCCAAGGCACTGCAGATTGGAGATGGGGCTGATTTGGCCATGTCATGTCTTTTACAGGGTTAGAAAATGTCACCGGCACCGCGACCTCTTCAGGCAGAAGCGCCCCGGCGAGGACCACGAAGCCCTCGTCACTGAGGTGCTGCTGCCAGCGCGCGTCCTCCAGGGAGAATCGATAGGAGGCCTCCATGGCAGCACTGGGCCACGAGAGCTGCTGGTCGATTGGGAAAGTCTGAATGCGGTCATGCCACCCGGATGATTTCAGAAAGAAAGACACCCTGATGCTTGTCCTTCTGCCAACTACCTACGATTGCCCTGAGGCCCGCATGGTGCAGCGGTCGCCGAATGCTTCTCGGAGGCTGTGTGACATCAGTCAGCATGCAAATCCAGCGAAAACATGCGCGGCATTTTGACAAGCCTGATTGAGCGGACAGGAGGTCTTCTCACTGCTCATCCCTTGCGGCGCATGGCTGCCACGGCCTCCATCATGTCATCACGCTTCTTCTTGCCGCGGCGGTGGGTGCCCAACCTCTTCTTGGCCAACTTCAGCGCACGCTTGAACGTGGCGGCGGAGCCGATCTTCAGCAGCTCGATCATGCGGCGCTCGTAGGGCGCAAAGCCCACAACCTCGCGGACCACTTCGCGAACCAGGGCCACGCGTCCGCACTTCTTGCCCTTGCGGTAAGAAGGCTTTGGCTTCAGCTGCCTTCTGGTGACGATGAAGCCCTTGTTCAGGCCCGCAGCAAGGCCGGTGGGTGCCGGCTTCTCGTACCCGTCCTTCGCCATCTTGCCCCTGCTGAGCTACAGACACTTCCTGCCCGGTCAGGACCCCTTCGAGCCGAAAAGTATTTGAATGGAACAAATGAACATGTTGGTGGCTGCTTCTGGCCGCTGACCTATGCAGCATGGCATGAGCAGTAGCAACGTACGAAGCGACTAGACGTAACTTGCCGAACGGCGAGGTCTGATTTGTTTCCTTTCGTGCTGCTCTCGTCGTCCGGGTACTGTGCTCTACTACTTCACAACTCACTTATCCTTTGCGGCGCATGGCCGCCACGGCCTCCATCATGTCATCGCGCTTCTTCTTGCCGCGGCGGTGGGTGCCCAACCTCTTCTTGGCCAACTTCAGCGCGCGCTTGAAGGTGGCGGCGGAGCCGATCTTCAGCAGCTCGATCATGCGGCGCTCGTAGGGCGCAAAGCCCACAACCTCGCGGACCACTTCGCGAACCAGGGCCACGCGTCCGCACTTCTTGCCCTTGCGGTAAGAAGGCTTTGGCTTCAGCTGCCTTCTGGTGACGATGAAGCCCTTGTTCAGGCCTGCAGCAGGACCGCTGATACGAACATGCAGCTGCCCATGATATATGCATACACACGTCATCTGTACCTCTACAAACACACATACCATCCTACCTATGTAAAAACTGTATATACAAATATTTGTATATACATGTGTATGCGTGCATGGTATGTACACATGCATGCAAGCATGCATGCATGCATGCAAGTATGCCTGTATGCATGTATGCATGTATGCATGTACGCATGTGTGTGTGTGCACGTATGCATGCATACATATATATATATATATCCTTCCGTCGCCGCGAGAGAGGTCTCGCGTTGCAAAGGCGGCTCCGCCGGCTTCTCTAGGAAGCATGCCGTATTGGCACCCCGAAAAGACAGGCCCACTCGCACTCATATTAGGAACAGTGTAAGGAAGTATAAGCATAGCTAGAAAAGTGTAGATAAGACAACATCATCTGGCGTCCGCCCGACGCGATGCGTCCCTTGAGCAGCGGACCACAAGAGCCTGAGCTATTAAAAGCGCCCCGTAGGGCCTGTGCGGTCCTGGTTCCTATCTGTAGTTGCACGATAAAGACAACAATAGCACAAAATAGAGTAACAGGATGAAACGCAGACATAGAAGAGTAGCAGAGTAAGTAAGCTTAAACAGATAGGAACCGGTCAAAATTCTGGGTCTCTCCACGTTCTTTTGCTGTCTCAAACTTGCCTAAGGAAACAGACGTAGGCATTGCAACTGATGGCGTCCTGATCTGCTGCAGTAGCAGGCTGTTACATAACGGATGCAGCCCTCTTCGAGCAGTGCAGCTCTGTAGTGGCCGGAGTGCTTGTGGTGCCCTAGGTGATAGACTATCGCAGCTAGGGTGAATCGGCGAGAGGTACATTGAATCCCCGGGCCTACAAACATGGGAACGTAAACATAGGGGTGCAGGTCTAGACGATGCTGGATTTTATTCCCTGAGTCGTCAAAGCGACAGATCTGCACAGCAATCCAGGTCGGCAGCGTCACCGCGGCGTGCTGCAAAGCCTGATTGCGATGGCCAAATTGATTACGCCACCCAATGAAGAGAGTTTGGAGACTTACAGGCTTAGATCGTCTGTGGGCAGCTGGGCTCAAGGCTACGGTGAGTACCAGTGGGCACAGGTTGCCCTGATCCGCAACCTCAGCAAGACCGGTGGCGCTATGTTCCTCCCTAGACTCCCAGCATGCTGCGTTTGAGTGCAGAGCTGGCGAAAGAAAGTGCAGGAATTCTGCAGCGTCGTGTTGCCTTGCGGGCTCCGACCAGTCGCAGCACAGTTGGCACCACGCCCTCAAATCCCAAAGGCTTACGGATTGGGGTCGCCTGCTGAGCCATTGGAGAACGCGAAGGAGTCTTGTCTCCAGGATGGGCATACCTGAAGAGAGCCCACTCGCAGTCCAACAAAGCGACAGGACAACGGCATGCGAGTAACAAAAATTCGCACTGTTCAGCAGACTGAGTCCTATTAGGGTGCTGGCTGAGGGGCTTAGAGTTCCCGAACCATCTTGTCCACTAGCTTGGCTAACGGAGATCGTCCGAGGCGTGCCGGGCGCATCGTGCAGGCAATTGTGTGCCAGCAAGCGTTGCGAGCTAGGCGGTCGAGGATCATGTGCATCTTCTGGCTTTCGGCGTTCCGATTCTGAATCTGCAGCGTCCATGGCAGAATGTCGGAGCCCAAGTTGGCCGACATGCGGCGAAGAGGATGAAAGCGGCCCAGAACATTGGGAAAGCACATGAGCTGTAGGGCTGTGCGCAGGAGGTCCACAAGAACCTTGTGTGCCAAGGGCTCCATCTTGGCCTTGATGTGAGCTTTGGTCTGGGGATCCCATTGCAAGAAAGGCCAGGATTCGTTCTCGACCAGCCCGCGGTCCTTGCATTGCTGCATGAGCTCCACGTTCGTCTCGAGTTCCTGTACCTTCTCCAACAGCGCGTTCAGCAGGCAGAAGAGCAGGACAGCTCGCATCGGCTGATCCAAGCTGGTTGGGTCTGCCTCCTTCTTGCGATGCCAGCTCTGCCCAACCTCGTACAGCTTGTCGGCTATGCTCCATTGATTGCCGGAGGCTGGGGTCTGCATGAAGATGATGAACTCCACGTCCAGCTGGTAGATGGATACTGTGTCCTCCATGCGCAGCGTGAGTCGAGCCACTGCCAGAAGGAGGTTTCGCAGGCGTGCATTCTCCTCCATGATGCGGTTCTTGTCGTAATCGCGGTCGTGCCCCGATTGGGGCCAGCTCGAGCCCTGCTGTTTCCAGGACCGGGATCCCCACTGGGAGTACTGTGAGTGCTGCCCCTGGCGCTGCCCCTGTCGCTGGTAGCCGCCGCGCTCCTGGCGCGCTGTGGTTTGCTCCTTCGCTGCCAATGCATTGCCCGCCCCCTGTCCTGACGAAGTCGGGGCCTGCTGTGGGTGCTGACCTCCCTTGCCCGTGGGTGCTTCCTCCTGCTTGGCGTCGCCCTTGGCATCGCCTTTTGCGAACTTGGCGGGAGGGCGTTCCCCGTCCACTTCGACCCTCTTCTCGCGAGTTGTCTCGTGGTCCATCTCCAGAGGGTCTGACGGGAGACTGGCCTCCGAGGGTGTCGCCGTCGAAAGGTTGCCTGTGGCCTTGCCCATTCCCGACGCAAATTGTTGCAGCTCCGCTCGGGCTTCCAACAGATCCTCGTCCGGCACTGGAAGCGGCAAAGACATTCCTGAGTGTTGGCTGCCGAAGGTCCTGCAGGGTGCTAAACCTATCTAAGAACACTCCACACATCCAAAGAACACTGCATGCAGAGATATGTGCAGATGCACGGACCTTGTAAAAGGCCCCGCACCACTGGCAAGGTTTCTGAAGATGCTGGTGAGCGCGTACCCAGGCTGCGACTTGAGCCTTGCGTGCCTTTATGGCAGCATGCATTTGATTTGCATGTCGAGCTATGTAGGCCGGTGTTGAGCACCACTGAAAGCATTCTGGGCAGTGATTGGGAGTGGCTGTCGCGACGATGCTTTTTGCAAGTTCCGAAAGGCGGTTCTGGCGTGCCAGTGCTTGCAGCTCCGGTCTGTACAGTAAGGGTGTGGTGTCAAACTGTTCCAGCTGACTGTCGGCACTAGCATTGTGTGCTGTCGGGATATGCGCAGGTTCCGAAGGTACTTGTTCAGACTGAGGTGTTAGCAGTGTAGGGCTGGGGGTCCATTTATGGAGCACAGGGCAAGTCTGCTGGTCGATGTGACCCATGAATTGCGGCCATCCATAGAACTTGCGCAGACAGTGTTTGCACTGGGGCAAGCCTCCCAGTGAGTGGACTCTCAGAGCATCCCTACGTCTGTTCTTTACAGTGGGATTGGTTTCCCTAGCACTCCGCTGGTCCTTGTGCTGTTTCCCAATGTGAACATTTAGGGCATGATGACTAGGGAATTCCTGTGAGCAGAATGGGCACGTCTGAGGTGTGGGGACCACATGAGTGACTTCGACAACCCTAGCTGTCAGCTCTCTAGCCTGTTCCGGCTCCAAGAAGGTGCTGGGAAGCAGGTTCCACCAATTCTGTACTTCCGGAGGCTGTAAGTGCAGCACCGATTTAGAGCAGGCCTTGATACGCGCACAGCAACTGCGGTGCAGCATTGCGAGCGGGTGATCGAGTCCAAGGCGTTGCAGCAAGACTTCGTTACTCTCGTGGGTGATATGTGCGGGGCTGCGGGCAACCATGCGTAATTGGCGGAATGTTTGTGCCACTAGTTGCTGCCTGCTGTGCGCATCAAGTCCGGCTGCCGACAAACTGTACTGGGTGATGCTCCAAACACATGACTTCCAGAGGGCTATCCGTTTCTGCAAGGGAATCTGCTGTGATTTCAAGAATGTATGCAACCTGTGGAAGGCTACCCACGATTGGGCCAGTCTATGCTGCACCGTTAATCTTTCGAAAGAGTGGTAGGTGAGCTTGGCTCCAAGGTAGGTGTGAGATTGCTTGATAGGAAGCAACACGGTCCTTGCACCAAGGTGCAGTTTCAAGAATCTCCCTCCGTTTTTCCGTACAGTCGCTTCCTTCAGCAGCAATGGGGCCTTGGAGCCTTTGATGGCCAGCAGTACAACGGTTTTGTCGAGTGAGATCTGCATGCCCAGTCGTTCTAAATCTAGGAGGAGTTTTGCTGCTTGCCTACGGGCATTCTCGAAGTCTCGGGGATCCGTGAAGCTCCACTTCACTAGATAGTCGTCTGCGAAGCCTGACATGTCATTGACAGAAATATATTCCGCCAACACCGCATGCAACAACACCGTGAAGCACAGCCATAAGAGGGGCGAGAGCCCGCATCCTTGACGTATGCCTCTGGACATGCCTAGCTCGGCACGTTGTTCACTCTTCTCAAGGACCAATATGGCATTATCATGGATGAAGAGTATCAGTGTGATGAGGTCGGGCGGTATGCCTACTTTACCCAATGATGCCTCTAGACAATGCCGAGGAAGGAGGTCAAATGCACGGGACAAATCAAGCGATAATATCATGCCACCCGCTAATGGCTGCTGTTTGCGACGAGAGAAGGTGTTGAAGATGGTGCGTTGGTGCTTACGAAGCGCTTCACGTGTTTGGAAACAGTGCGAAAAAGCTCTATCCAAACAGTCTGCAGTCTGTCTTTGATGTGAATACGCGAATTGTGGTATGGAGTGCAATGCCTGTTGGATGAATGGCTTCAGGCGCTCTGCTGCTATGCGCGCAAGGAGTTTGGCTTCTGCGGACAAAAGGCTTATCGGCCTGAGGTTCTCCGGCCGACATGGAGGTTTGCCTGGTTTGGGGAGTAGGGCCAGGAATGCTCGGTGCCACGCTGCGGGAAAAAGGAGCGGGCCTGTACGAAGTACTGTGTTGTATGACTCACATAGGGCAGGTATGATCTCATCGGGTGCCAACTTCCACAGACGCGCTGGGGCCTGCCTAGGGGGCAGAGACTTCTTAGCTGACAAGTGCGACAAAGCTGATGCTACCTCCCTGTAAGTGATCTGTAGCGGGGCTTGCAGGACATAGGTTTTAGCAGAAGTCTGGACTGTGTGGTACAGATTCTCAAAGAAGGTCGAAAGTGCTCGAAGCTCGCCTGCAGGGGAAAGCATCCTACCCTGATCATCACGAAAGTGTATAGCACGCTTGGATGTTTTGGGGCGGATTTGTTTAGTCAGAGTCTGCAGCTGACTGATACCTCGAGCTTCGGCCTCATGCGCCTGCTGAAGGAGTGCGTCCACTTTGGCGCGTTTGTTGTGCTGTACCCTCTGGCGAAACTCTTTATCAAGGCGTCGAAAGTGAGTGATGGACCTCCAGCACGAGACAAGTAGCCGGAGCCGAAGCGCTGGCCGTGCACAGTGCCTTCGGATGGCCGTATATCCACTACTCCCTATATGCCATAGGACTGGGGACCAGTACTGTTGCAGTGCGTCTAGAGATCGACGAACCTGAGTCTTGGAATCCCAAAAATGCTTCAGTGTGGGGGCTGTGGGGGCCGAGGTCGGGTTAGGCACTGGCCCGGCAGTCGCGGCAGGAGTCAGGGAACGCTCAGCGGCGATCCACGCTCGCTGCAGGCAAGCGTCTAAATCGCACGGCATGCTGGGCTGCTGCGTTAGCTCCTGGTGGAGCTCCTGTCTAAAGCGGGATTCTAGTGCAGGTTGCTTCCTGAGGGCATCTGCAATTATTTTGGGGGTGACGGTCCTAGCCTTCCCTGGGGTCTTAGGGGTGGGGCTGAGGTCCAATGTGCAAAGGATGGGGACGTGTCTTAAACCTGATGGGTACACCAAAGGAGAGTCTTGCAGGGCCGTTGCACGGAGCTCAGCTGGCTTGCATGGCAAGCGCGTCAAACAGAAATCGATCTGCACGGAGCCAGATTCCTGAATCAAGTAGGTGCCTGCGCTGCGTCCGCCCCGATTCCAAGTATTCATGGCTACGAGGCCTGACGTAACTACCAGGTTCTGGAAGGTGTCCTGATCTGGGTGCACAAGAGATTTATGGGTAGCAATGCCTTTTCCTACATGCGGACTGTGAGGTCTTAAGCTTGCATTCATGTCCCCTACTAGCAGGAGTTTGTTCCTACTGGGAATAGAGGAAACCCAACCCCTTATCTGGCTCCAAATCTTTGCACGCTTCTGAAGAAGCACCGCTATGGCTCCCTGAGCCCCGGAATTGGGCCGACTGTCCGCCGCATGAGAGCGGCCGTGCGGATTCCAGGCATGCTGGTAGACCCCTAGAATGTCCGTATTGGTGGGACCCAAGAGTCTAAGGTGCAGGAGGCGCCCGGGTTCTATCTCCACAAACTTGATGTCTTCACTACGGAAAAACTTTTTATTGATGAAGAATGAGACCCCTCCCCCACTATTGCCTGACCCGGAGTTGATTACATGCCAATCCGCCGTCGAGAACTCTGACCATTGGCCCCATTTGGTCTCTTGGATGCACATGACATGCACACGGCTATTGTGGTCAGTAAGCCATTGTATGGTTTCTTGATAGCGTGCGGCATGAAGGCCACCGGCATTCCAAGAAACGACTTTAAGACCCTGCACGTCCCAAGGCGATGAGGCGCGTTGCCGCTTCGACCTATTGGGGCTGGGAAGGCTACGTAGGGCGAGACTACCTACGGTATGCGTCTGACCCCTATACACTGTAGTTCCGTCCCTTAGTGCTCGTGTTTGGGCGCGCTTGAAAGAGCGTTTGCGGGCCGAAGTCAGCCGTTGGGCGGCACTGCCATGTGCGTGCAGCAAATTTCGGGCTTCTGCCGTCTGCGGACTACTCGAGGTCGGATGGGTGGGATGAGATGCGCAACACGTTATTTGTGCCACAAAAAGTGTCATGCATAAGAACCGGATTATGGGGGTTACAGCAGGGTGCCAAGACGGATTATTTAAGGTGTTAGGGTGCCGCCTGGGTGAGGCCGTGGCAGAATCCCTAGAGTCCAGCAGCCGGCTCTGCAATGCCTGCTTGGCGCGCTGTTGGCGCCAGTTCACGGGACAGCGCCGGCGTCGGTACTGCCCTGGCAAGAGGCGCGAGACACCGTAACTATAACCCGATCTCCGACGAAGCATCCTATAAGTGCAGTGTCGCAAAACCATCAAACCGAAGGAGGAGAGACAAATTAGTATTATGAAAGCCTGGCTGGTAAGCCGGCAAGCGGACCTGTCCACGGGTGTGCCCGTCGTGAGAAAATCACTCCTGGCAATGAAAGGGCCAACATGCTTCGCCTTCTTGGAAGGACAGTAGCAAAAAATTGGGGTGGCTTCAGAGGGGTAATGGCCTTTACTTCCCTCAACCCTCGCGTCTGCACGGGATGTGTCAGTGCTATGTGTGTCGTGATATGATGGATGTGCAATGACGAGTCCTAGTGTGCTGAATCCCGTGCCCCTGGACTTGGGACCAGGGCGACCCGTTACTGTCGGAGACACAAGTCCCGGTAGTGTGTCCAGCCTCCACGTCGATCGGCTCGTCATGGGCAGCCAGTCGTCTGAAAATTGGGCGGTCAGTAGAGCTGCCGGCCCCTGATGCTTGTGGCATTGCCCGATCAGGCTCATCAACAGCTGCAGAGCTCCAGAGGGGGGCTGGCATGAGGTTGCCTGCTCTCCAGAACCATCGAACAAAGCGTCTGCGGCTGGCGGCTGTGAGGAAGGGCCAAGTACGTCCAAGAAAGTCCCTGTAAAACCCGCCTGAAGCCAAATGGACAACCTCTTGCGCAAACTCTCTCGCTCTGACGAACTGCAGTTGAAGCGGAAAGCTTTGGCAGATGAGCAGTTGTATGCGCTGCATGCAACGTTCCATTGGCGGAAGGGCAGTGTGAGTGAACTGTCCCAGGTTCTGTATCCATATGCCATCATTCCTTGGCAGCCGAGTATCCATGGTCCGTCGGACCACGGCAAGGTCGCCGAGCAGCATGTCATAGCTGGCGCTGGATAAGCGCTCCCGGACCAGCTCCAGTGTTCGCGGTAGCTCCTCGCCCTCTCGCAGTCTGCGAAAACCAGCCAGTTTGGCCGACAGTTCACGTCCCTGGCAGCCCCTGGCCTCGAGTTCGTAGGCCAAGTACATTTCACAGAGTCGGATTTGTACGCGCCGTTTAAACCACGACGTGATGCGCTGCTGTACGGCCGGCAATGCTGGTGGCTCTTCGGAGCAGCTGCTGATAGGAGGATCTGAGCTATCAGGGCTGCACTGAGAAGCAGTCGAGAAGGAGTCATGCGTGTCATGCGGAGAGGTGGATCGAGGCATGTGCCGCTGACCATTCGACGTGCCGAGCGGAAAGGAGAGAGAGGGACAACACACGGTTCGGGCCGAGACGCTTATATATATATATACATACATACATACATACATACATACATACATACATACATACATACATACATACATACATATGTGTGTGTAAGCATGTAACTGTATGTAGGCATGTAGCATGTATCTATGTGTATGTGAGCATGTATGTATGTATGTAGGTACGTATGTGTGTGCATGTCAGTACAGCTGTGCCAAGAAAGCTTGCATGTGATAGCCAATGTACGTATGTGTGTGCCGACGTACCTGCCGGCAGGTAGGTGGGTAGGCAATGTAGGCAGGTAGGTAGGCAAGCGGGCAGGCGGGCTAGTAGGCAGGTATTGGTAGGCATAGGTAGGTAGAGGAAGGCAGGTAGTGGTCTTCTTGTTCCGGCCGTCCGTGTGATGTGGTGCCTGTGGTCTTGCTTGGGTTTTTGGTCTCTCGGCTTCCTGGTCTTCCCCACCCCATTCTGCTGTGCGTGGCTGCTCAGCAGCAAGCAAACCAGGGCAGGGGGAAGTGTGTTCTACAGAGGTGTGGTTACGGCTTTGTGTTAGTAGTAATGTCATCCTGGCCATTAGTGACTAGGGTGGCGATGCCTCTTTTCCGTGGCTGTTACGCTCAGGTCATTGCGTATGCATGCATGCCTGTTCGAACATAAACGCTGATTTTTGGATATCATACCATAGGCCTGCAGCAAGGCCGGTGGGTGCCGGCTTCTCGTAGCCATCCTTGGCCATGCCGTATGCGGCGGATATCAAGAGAGCACGTTGCAAGGATTCCTGAGAGCCATAAATCGCAAAAGCCCAGCGTCGGGTGAGTCAGGAGGGAGGGTCAGGAGTGGGAGGCGAGCGTGAAGAGCGGGTAGCATGTTGAGTAGAAGGAGAGAAATTAGAGACAGGGATTTTGAGAGGAGCCAGATCAAACAATGTAGGCATGTGCAGGTGCACACACTCACTGACACAAGTGCATCGGGAAGGGGCAAGATGCAAGCACATTCAAGTTTTTCCCGCATGTCAGGACAGGCATGCTGTACAATCTCTCCAATGGGTGCAAAGGCACTATATATAAATTGAAGCACTCTGCACCTCCAGGGCTGCCTGACCTACCAGGGGTCAAGGCTGTAGCAAGAGCAGCCAGCGACCAGCCTGGCCTCTAACTGCTCCTCGTTTCTTTACTTCTTTTTCGAGTCGGCTTTGGCTTTTGCTTCAGCCTGGCTGCTGCCAGTACTCAGGCATTTAGGGTCTCTTCTTCTTCGCGCGTCGCGCGCACGCGCCTTTTTCTCCGTCGCGGCATCCACATCTACCTCTGGAGGACATCACTTGGGAGGGATGGTCTGAGAGAATTGCCGAAAAAGGCATACATCGAGGAGGGAAAGACAGGAAGGGTGCCGTGCCTTCTTCACCTCCAGCTGTTCAAACAGCAAGGAGGTGGCCTTGACCTGAACCAAAAACGCGAGGAGCTTCAGCTCCGGGGAGGCCGTGGCGGATCTTAGCTTCGGCGCCTCCTTGCCGTCCTCAAGGTTGGCGAAGTCATCGCGCAACTCGGGGATGGGCCTGTGACGCAGAGGTGAAACCGCCAGATCTGCCCTGATTTCCCCCACTGGATCCCGCTGCCTCGGAGGCTGGCCCACTTTCGCGAAGATCGCCTCTACGGGAGTGCTTTCGAGCAGACGGGCTTTGGAGTTTTCTTGAGCTGTCTTGGAGCAGGAAGGCAGCACCTCCGCAGCTACAGGGATGAAGGGGGCAAAGAAGTGGGCCAAAACGTAGACCGCCTGGCCAGGGATGCATTCGTCGCGAATCAGGTCGAGCTGAAACACCATGGGATCTGCGGGCCATACCGACACTGCCGCTAGTGCTGGTCCCGCCTCTAGCAGCTTGCGGAGGCATGCACTCCGACGTGCCTTCTGATCCTCTGCCTGGCAAGATATTTCGAGCGAAGAGTCCTTTCAGGCTTTGCATGAGCTCCTCGAAGATTCTTACGGATTCTGAATGGCAAAGCTCTCTGCCCGTGGCTTTGCATGGCTTTGCATGGGCTCTCCATCATGGCAGCGGCCTTCATCTTCCAGGGCTCCAGGTCCGCGATCCACTGGCAACGGGATTCCGAGTCGCATCTCCGAAGCAGAGGGAGAGGAGAGGAGATGGAGGTGGGCAGGCGGCCTTGTTCGTTGCCGCTGCCGCCCGGACAGTGAAGTCGGCCGCGTCCGAAAGCCGGTAGGCTTCGAAAGCCTGGGATGGCTGAGCGGTCTCAGCGGCTCAGACTCTGAACTTCCCCATGGTCCGTACATGTAAGAGTGTAACACACCCTGCGTTCTGTGCCTCGGAGACCGAGGCTTTCAGCTCTTTGAGGTCGAAAGGCAGGGACACCTCGACGTCACAGCGGGGCACCTTCGATCCGAGGCTGAGATGAGGTTCTGTTCTGATGCCTACAAATGCCGGTACTCCAACATGCAGGGATCGCGGAGCCGCCGCTGAGGTTCACCGCACGATTCACCAAGTTTCCCAGGTTGTCGCCTCAGCATACACAAAAGTCACAAAAGGACGACGCGCAGGGACGCCAGAAGTGGAGTCAGGACAAGGGAGGCGGGGGGAGGGAGGGAGAGAGAGTGAAACAGTGACGGAGAAACGAGGCAGACGTGTCTTAGCTAGCAACAGAGCTCGGCGTTGTGCATCAGGCGGAGGGAGTCCTTGAACCGTACAACAGGCGACCTATCCATCCTGGCATCCCTTCAAGCCTCACTGAACCTGACATCGTCCCCGAAGGCCGCCTGGCGTCCGGAGATATGGCAGATAGATGCGGGTAGTGACGATGCTTACGGCACTCGGAGATCAAGAGAACAGAGAGGTCATGCCCCCTGCCTCGCGGCAGAAGTACCATCGCAGGGTATCGCACGGAAACTTGTCCAGCCTCTTTTTGCCAGCAAGAACAGGGGTTCACATTAGGGATCTTTCATGATATGGGCAACCCAAGCTTGGGTGGGCTAAGCTCCCGACATGTCATGTGGGTCCACGACGTTCCCCAGACTCTTGGACCTCGACCACACATTGGAAAACGGCGTCATGGCCAGTGTCTTCTTCTGGGAGCCAGCATCTTGCGGCCATCAGCGCCGGCAATGAAACCATGCACAACCACGCTCTTGGGCAGTGGAATGCCTGGCAGCATCGGCTCATTCATTGCAGCAACGGACATGTGACGCATCGCCAGCCTGAGCTCATGAGCATCGCGGGCCAGATAACCGTGTGAAACCAGTGGATATCCTGTCCGTTTGCATGATCTGGGAGTAAGGTTCAAAAGCTTCTTCTGTGAAGTCAGCCTTGCCGACGATGTGCATGTTGGCAGGCCAGAATCTGCTCAGCGGTTTCTTGGGATCGATCCCGTCCTCCCAAACTGCGATGAAAATCTGGTGAGTCGTGCTTGGAAGAAGCTGTGACGCGTGCAATGCCGCTGAGGTAGTTGATGAGGGCATCGAACCAAACATACATAACCTCCAAGATGCCGGGAGGGTCGGGACGTGATCTTTTGGTAGCTCTCGGCTTCAGAATGGTGCATTGCTCACAAGTTGAGATTGACACGTGTCTCTTGCCGTCAACCAAGTCTTCTGGACAGCTGACCTCAGCCAACATTCCCATTCCCAACACGTAGAGTCTTACGGGTCGTCATCCTACAACTCCAGGATTGCATGCTAGGGCTTTACTTCAGTTCAGGCTCAGACTAGTCCGGAGGCATCTCTACATGTTCGCAAAAGGAGAGCCACGACACGAACTGGAAGGCTCAGGGCGCAGCGCCCCAGTCGAAGGTTCCACGGCTGATGGAGAGGTCGCGGAGCTGGCGAAAGGAGCTTCAAATGCCGACGTGAGGCCGAGGCGGTGGGAGGCTCCGAAAGCCCCGACGAGCACTTTGTCGCTGCTTTCGCATCGCTGAAAAGTCTAGGACCCGAAGACCGAAAACCTACGAAGCCTCCCTGGGCGACTGCCTTTTGCAGCCTCAGCCAGGGAAACTGAGCAAAGCCACGTGCAGGCGCGAAGCACTCTTTGCTTTCGCAAGCCGCTTTGTTCATGGATCCTTAGTGCACGAGACTGATCTTCCACAACGGGCTGCAAAGATTGTCTTTGTTTCAAGCACTTCAGAAAAACGGTGAAATGGAGCTAGCAGTATTGGCATGTATCATTGCATCAGTTCTGGTCATGTCCTAGCGACCCTGCCCCTCAAAATTTGGACATCCACCTGCACAACTGATTGCAGGCTCGCCACGCCTTTGCAGAAGTGCGCGCGCAGGGCTTCTGCGGCTTTATGAGCGCTGTAAACGCATCCTAGGATCAAGCTGCACGGGGGGGTACTACACATGTCGTTGAAGGCCGCAGGTCCTTCGAAATTGCCCGCAGGAGCCATGGCATCTCCGCCTGAGAAGCGCAAGGCATCTCCGCTTGCTTCCGCATAGGAAACGTTGGAACAACTGCAGACCCGCAAACCCGCAGCCGGCCACTATCCAACGCTCTTGGTCCTTCATCCAAGCCACAAAGAAGGCCCAGGGACTTGTCTGTCCGAAAGAGGGGGACGCAGCCAGGCGCTGCCTGCAGTGACCGCACTTGGTGACGGTCAGCAGCAACGGCCCGGGATGAACGTAGATGATCGTAAGTTATTCAATCCTGGTTGAAGACACACCCGGTATCTTCAAGCCGGAATTGCAGTGTGGCCTCCTTGGCTTCCTCCACAGGCCAGGCCCAGTCAGGTGCAAGCCTTGCACCACCAAAGCCTGCCAGCAGTACTGCAAGTCGTGGTCATCTTTGAAGCGTAGTCGTTCGTTCAGCTGTCACCATCGTCATCAGTGTCAGCATCAAAGTGCAAATCCTGCCCTCATCACCCCAGCCTTTGTAGACCTGGCTGTACTTCCACTTGTGGACCTTCGATCCCTGGGCAAAGAGAATGCGCGACATCCCTTCCTTCGGCCTAGGCCTAGGATTCTCGAGGGAGGCCTCCGCTCCAGCCCAAGGCAGCTCAGGCAGCTTCGCCTGCCACAGGACTGTGGAAGCTGCGAAGGGAAAAATCCACTTCCCACTGCGGCCGTCCTCGAGGTCCCGCTGCAGCCGCGCGGCGGCCGTTGGGAAGGGATCCTGCGGCGCTGACAAAAGAGCAGATATGCCATGCACCACAAACAAACTCGGTGCCCTCCTCCTCATCCTGAAGCTCGATGCCCAGGGGAACCCCGCTGTGTACCAGTACAGAGATCATTGTCTCGTGCGTAGAGTGTCGCTTTGCTGAATCATGCGCCACATAGCGGACGTCGCCCTTGTCGAAATACTGGCAAGTCCACGTGAAAGGCCAAGTAACCTTAGATTTGTCAAAGAAATATGCCACAGCAAAGCGCGAGGAGTACTCCACCTTCTTGAGGCTTGTCGAGATCGTCTCTGGTGTGTGCTGCAGAAAGCTGCCGCGCATGCCAAACTTGCTGGCCCCCAAGACTTGTGGGGGCGGCTGTGTCAAGACCACAACGCTGGCTGCCGCAGCGTCTGCAGGCAGCGACCCCTCCTTCACTGACACGGAGACCTCCCCGGTCTCTGACAGGGTCAAGTCATCCACCGCTACTCCCCAATCCACGGGCACACCTGATGACTCCAGCAGATACTGCGAGACGGATTTCAATCCATTCGGAGCTGTAAAGTGTCGCACATCTGAACTTGCAGCTCCATACGGATTTGGACCTGCAATCTCGGCGGTGAAAGGCTTCAGCACGCCGGCATCGAGAAGGCGCTTGTAGAGCGGACCCAGAACTGGATGGTCTGGCGAGCTTCTGGTTGTAATATACTGTGCCCCAAGATCTGCTTGTGCAAGCAATGGGGAAGACCGATCACCATGACGGTAGCCGTAGGTCGCCATCCGGCCGCCGGCACCACGCGATTTCTCCAGCACGCGCACGGAGAGTCCCATGTCCTTGGCGAGCAAGGCCAGCATGGAGCCTGTCACGCCGGCTCCCACGATGAGGATCTGTGCAGCAGGCATTGCGTCAGCAGGAGCGACAGAATGGCAAGACAAGCTTGATTTGAAGCTTTGGCTGAACTTCCCTCTGACGTCCGGATGCCGGAGGCTCGACCGTTTTGTTGTTTGCTGTAACACTCCAAACAGCTGCGATCAGGGCTCCGGGGGCCTCGCGAGGAGTGAATTCGAAGTCAGTCGAAGGACGGAAGCCAAGACAACGGACGGAAGAGCCCTGAGCCCACCTCGATGGATTTCAGCCGCTCCAGGATCTCTCCTCTGTACCTCAGCTCTCCCTCCCGGTGGGTGTGTGGGAGCGCTTCAAGTTGCGATTTTTTGCGGCATTCCACGCTCGTTCGGGGCCAGGCTGAGCTGGTTGAATGAACTCCGGCCGGTCCTGCCAAGAGGCAAAGGAGGCTCCGGCTTCTTGCACTCAACGACAAGGGCGCTCGTGAACGACCCCCGCACACCGCGCGCTGTGCGTGCGGCACCTCGATCAGCTTGATCACCTTCTCCTGGTACTTCGAGAGGCGAAAGAAGAAGCTGGGCTCAGACCTAGCACAGTGACAGTGGCAAGGCCCTTTCAGATCAGCTCTGCCCTACCAATGTCTCGAGAAGCACATACCACGACTCGGCCAGCATCACGTGAAGCCACGGAAACAAGCAAGCAAGGCTTTGCTCCGCATGCACTCAAAGTACATTGCTTCGCTCAGCAAAGCCCGCATGATAAGCACAAAACGGGACAAGCCAAGCCTCACACAAACAAGGACACAGACTGTCGACCATCTAGGTGCATGGCATCTTCTTCAATGGTGCTCCGGAGGTGGGGTCCTGAAAGTCAACGACATCAGGCTCAGTGAAGTTGGTTTGAGCACGAGTTTCGGAAGGAGCAGCAAGGAGTTCCGATGCAGCCCGAAACCCAGTCCATGCACAACTCCTTTGGAGTTCCATCCCTGAAGCCTTCAGCTTTCCTGTTCTTGCATCCCATCTCTGCCATCCCCGGCCGGCCTTAAAATTGAACTCCTGCGCCTCCTGGTCCGTGATGAACCGCTCCTCGCGCACCATGTACCTGTGTGCGGGGGCAGTTCCTCACCCCGAGCTCGTGCTCCCCCAGATTGTGCTCACCAACCCTCGTAGCGGTCGAGGTAGATGTCCCCCTTCTTCTTGCAAATATCCCAGACTGACCTTGCAACAACCTTGGCAGTCCAGGTGGAAAACTTTCCAAAGATAGGATCCTGATTGCGTACATGCTATACCACGTTCACGACACGCTCATACTATGTGCAGTGTTACCTTCACCACGAGAAACCCAGCTCGGCATGCGTTCGGGCCGTTTCGAGTGCAGTGGACTTGGGACCAAACTTTGTGGCGGTCGGCAGTCGTGCGAACGTAGAAATCGTTTGACACCTTGCTTTCGGCTCTGCCAACAACACATCTCCAACACAACCGTGATGGCTCTAAGCCTGTGGCATTTAAGCGCTGGTTTAGCGCCCTGAAGCCAAGGCCTTTGGATGTCCAGGCATGTGGAGGCATGCCACGTGGCTGACAATCTGACGGCTACCATCAAGGCGGCCGCAGTAGCGGTCGCAGATCTCTTGGGGCTGGAGGCCCTCGTTCTCTGCAGCTTGGGCAATCTTCTGCCTCTCCAGGGCGAATTCTTTGCGAAGGTGAAAGCATGGGATCATGCTTCCACAGCTGAGCAAAGAGCCCATGCTCATCAGCACCTGTCATGAAGAACACATCCTGCCCGAGCAGTCGATGGTACCTGCGTGCTTAAAACTCGGAGCTCCACAACTGCGTGCATTCCGCTGGGCCTCGCAAAAACGTCTGAGGTGAGTGCCTCATAGGCATGACCTTGGACACTTCACGCAAAGGCTGCTGTCCGTCTGCAAGTCACTTGACGTGAGCTTGCAAAACAAGCACACACTGACATGTTCAACAAAGAGACATGGACAAACGCCCCTACGTCCCTACGTGTAAGATGTACCCCGACCATGGGCCTATGTGTGGCCAGCCGTTGCAATAGTTAATGGCGGTCGTGATGTAGTACCTGGACGGGGGCACGAGAGCCTCTGTGTCCAAGTGCATCAAGAGAATATAAACGACAATCGAACTGCAACAGAAACAACTGAAGACCAGCTTGGAATTTTCGAAGATCAGCAATAACCAGGGGCACCGCCCGTGGGGACCTTTTTCGGCGGAGGGGAAGCACTTGCCCCCTGCCAGGTGGTGTGCATGAAAGGCATCCAATCCCGCTCATAGAGCAGCAGCCAGCACTTTATCTGAAGTTGAGTTCCCCCTTCACATGAACCGAGAAGATCATGCAGCATGCATCTCCGCTTGCTCCAGCTGAAACAGGAGGGACGACACTGTCGGAGTCGAGATGCTGAAGCATTCGCTCTCAATGTACACTTGAAGAAACCTGTCCCTGTCCCAAATTCGAACCGAGCCTGCCCCTCGTTTCACAGAATCGTCTCCCTGGACCTGGCGCCGATCCTCGACAGGCTCGACCTGGCCCAGTCTCCCACAAGAACTTCCGCCTGATCTGCAGAAGCAAAAATGCGCAGAGGCACCTTACAGTCGAAGGGCAGAACCTGCTTCTCTTTGCCAGGTGCACGCGGCCCCTGACGCGCAAGACAGAAGACAGCAGCCAGAAACGGCCAGAACATGAACATGTCTCACAAGGCCCTGTGCGATCGAGCGTATGTGCATGTATGCACGGATTATGGATATGTATGCTACATGCTTGTACACACACACACACACACATATATATATATATATATATATATAATTTTACATCTTGCTGCATGCCCAATATATAAATATGTATACACATGGTACCCAGTCCATTCCATGTTCTTGTTACAGGGACCTGCGGAGGTCGAAAGGTCAGGTGTTTTGTAAAGCGGCATAACCTTCATTTATACATCTGTTTGCATTTACACAGATTACAACCTTTGACATGCACGCGCATTCTGTGAGCTATCCGGGTCCGGGCCTTCTTTGTCTCTTGTCCTGCTGGCTCGCTGTCCTTCGGAGGCCCAGACATCATGACGCTCTGCCTGCATCTCAACCTGAGCTGACCTGCGAGGTCTTCGTCTGCCCTGGCCAAACGTGGTATGGAGCATGACGGGCTCGCAATCCCGCGATATGGTTGTACCTTGGCTGGGAGGAGGCATCTTGGCTTTGCCCCGAACCAGCTCTCCGCTCTACGCCGGGACCCGAGCCATCTCAGCAGGTGGGGGTACTGACAGAATCGAGGCAGAAAAGCCTTCCCTCTTGTACAAGGAGCGAGCCTTCTGTCGATCTGGCCGAGAAGGAACTTGGGCAAAAAACGTCATGTCCTTCAGTCGAGGCAAGATGCACCAACCGTCAATCGAAGCTCACGCAGCAGACCATCGGAAGGTCGACTTACCTTCGAATGACGTGCACAGCAGCGTGAAAGTGGCCCTGGCAACGTCCTCTGCTGTAGCAAATATCGTGCCGCCAACATAAGACCTGCAGAGTGCTTCTCCGACATCAGGGAAACTCCCCGTGGCCAAAGCCCTTTGGCCGTTTGCCCACCTGGATGAAAGCAGCTCATTGAGCTCCGCAAGCCCTTTCTCAGTCCGCAGGCTCCCAACAGTCGGCGCCTGATGTGTGGGAGTTTGTGTTACCAATGCTCGAGCAGTTTTGCTAAGCTGCAGGCCTTGGGCGGCATCGCAGCCTCACCGCTGCAGCTTCGACGCACAAGAGACAATAAGACAAGACTGACCTTGTGGCAAGGCCTTCAGCATCTAGAAACTAGACATCCTGATTCCCGAAACTCCTCTTGGAAGTGCAATCTTGATTTCAACTACAAAGAGGAAGGATGTGACCGCAGACACAGATTCCAGAGACTCGACTTCTCCGACCCACAGGGGTCCAACAGAAACGTTTTGCAGCAAGGCTCGTGGAAGCGAAGATGAGCCTCGTTTAACTAGAAACCACGACAAACACCATCTAAGAAGCTAAGGAACCCTGCCTGCAGTAGCTACTGTAGATGAAGGGAGGACTCAACGAAGAGATTGCTTCCCGCCTTGCGGCTTCCGCCGGCGCTCTTTGTCCAAGCCTCGTGCATGAACTTTGAGGGCGGGGGCAGTGCTTGCAGAGTTGAGCTGAGGTTCGGTCTGCACATGCCACAGCGCCCGACAGGAGTCAAGTGTTCGAGCCAATATCAGTTCGGATGACACTTGACGGAGAGCAACGCACATTCAACAAGCCAACTAGCGGGTTAAAATATCTGCACTGCAACAGACCAGGCACGATCAGCGTAATGATGCTGAGGCATGCTTTCGACACTTCCCTGACTTGCGGCGTTCATCGTGCATGCCGCATACGCCGCCCGACTACTGGTTTAGGTCAATTTTGCAACTGTGCCAATGGATTCACTTTGCGCAGCCGCATGCGTGTCAGCGGTTTCCGCCTGCCACCAGCAGTTTGGGAAACGAGCAAGCCGGCTTTCAAGGTCTTCTCCCAGACGGCCTTTTGACGATTCCGCTTCCTGCGACCGGGAGGGCCACGTGCAGCAGAAAACCAGCGGCCCAGCGGCCCACGGCCCAGCCTTCGCTCTCGCTTCCTGGCAGCGGCGTCATCTTTGGCCGCCTGAGCACCCAGAAGGACTCGAGATCCTTACAACCACTGAAGGCTACAGGGCTGCAGCCGCCTGCTTCGCCTGTGCCTCTGCAAGGAGCTGGCTAAGCGCATCTCCTGTGGATGAAGAGGGCAAGAGGATAGCTGATAGCATCATCCTGGTCCTAGCAAGAGGCTCCAAGGCGTGCCGGCAGAGCAAAGACTTCTTTCTTGCTCTGCCGAAAATCCCAGCAGGAAAGAGTGAAAGAGTCTGCAAGACAATCGCTCGTCTCACAAGTTGCTCTTGGGCTTCGGGGGTGGATCCACGTCCGCATAGCTCTCATTGAGCTCAAAGCCTCAGCGATGGCTCCAAGCTCCTCCCTTCTGCTTTACTGATCTCGGTTCTCGGTTCTCGTCCGCGCCGTCTTCCTGAGTCGGCAGCGCGGTGGGCGGCGCTCCAGGGACGCCTCTCGTGCGGTCGCGAATCCATCATCCCTGCCTCGCTCGTCGAGTGCACTCGAGCCTTGAGACCCTCCGAGAGGTCATGGGTTGCGTAGCAGTGGGCTTGGGCCTCAGGCAGCGATTGCCAAGCCGCTACAGTATGGGACGCTCCTGAAACTTCTCCGCGCTTCCGAGGCGCGGGCGTCCGCCTCGCGCCAGAGAGCGGCCTCGAGTCCCTCCTCGTTTTGGCGACACTCGGCTGCTACCTCTGATATGTATGTATGTGTATATATAATATATACATATATATATATATATGTATATATATATATATATACATACATATATATATATATATATATATATATATATATATATACATTATATATAAGTATGTATATATATATATGTGGATGGCCGTGGACCCTGGCCTCTTGCTTGCGGCGGAGGGAGCGCACGAGGGACCTGACCGCCACGGGGGCTTGGAGGGCAATGCGCTCGGCGAGCTCCATGGCTTGTGCTTGGGCTGTCGGCCCATCAGGTGCCACTTGCGACACCAGGCGAAGCTCTTTGGCTTCCAGCCCAGTCACCAAGTCTCCTGTGAGAAGTAGCCTGTAGGCGGTTTCAAAGCCGGCGACGCTTTGAATCATATGAGTCGCACCCATTCCTGGATGGAGTCCCAGGGAGACGAAAGGAAAACCCATCTTTGCACTTTGTGAGGCTACGCGGATGTCACATGCCATCGCCAGGCACATTCCAGCCCCAACAGCGGGTCCATTGATTGCAGCCACGACCGGTAGAGGCAGGGATCGAATGGCTAGAAATCGGTGATAGAAGTCATGCATGATCTGCGAATTCCTGGAGGGTGTGTCTTTGCCACGTAGCTTCAACCAAATTAGGTCACCACCGGCTGAGAACGAGTTGCCAGCCCCGGTGATTACAACAGCACCATATTCAGAAGCGTCTGTTCTGATCTTGTCCAGAACCTTGCCAAAATCGTCCACCACCTGTGATGTCATGGCATTCATCTTCTCCGGCATGTTCAATAGAATTCGGGCAACTCGCCCAACTCGCTCAAGCTTCACAGCCGGCATGGCTAAGTGCAATACGAATGCGGTGACTTTGCACCTGTCTTTTAACGAGGACTGTGCATTCGGCTAGGCCGTATCGGGCACTTTATCTCCGATGGACATACTGATGCTTAGTGTTTTTGCTCACAGCTAGATTTAAAAAGAGCCCGGAGAGATCGCGAATGTTTGACATCAACACCGGAGCATGCGAAAAGCAAGGCACAGACTAACCTTCTGTGAATACTGCTGCGTGCGAGAGCCTCTTTTTTAAAAGCAGCCTTCACCGCACCCCGTGGCCGTCTTTGCTCACAAAGGCAGCCGCTGGATTGACAAGTTCTATACAGCTACAGATTATAAAAAACTGTCGGATAAGGCAGTCGAGAGAGGTTTCAAGCAAGCACAAGCATGCATTTTGCATGCAGCCGTCTGCCACCGGAGCCGTGCTCCAATCGAATTCAGTGTCTCATTTTTCGAAGGACCCAGGCTCACCTCAGGCTCCCAGTGCCTGTCTTCCACAACAGCGGAAATTGGCTGCATGCGGCAAACCTAATTTTACTGTGCCCGCACATGCCCGCATGAGGGACATACACGATTATGTCTGTTTTGCAACAAAACCGTTAATCCACCACCCACTACTGAATCGGAACTTCACCCAGATGCAACTGCCGCAGAACAGAAAAATTACATATGACATCAGAACCCAACGAACGAATATCGAGACGACGACGAAAAGCCGTGAAAGGTCTTGTCCGCATCATCATCATGATAACCATCATCATCACCATATACACACAAACAAACACACACACACACACACAGAGTCGTCGCGGGACTGCAAAGGGATTCATCATAGTCCGCCTGGGGCGCAGCAAAAAGCGCCGCAGACGGGCGCCAAAACTGGAGATCCTCCGAGACGTGCAGCCACCGGAGACAATCAAGGGCCGAATGCAAAGGCATCCCAACAAGATGCAAATACAAGTGATGATGATGGTGGTTGGGTATCCGCCGACCCTGGCGGCGTGTTGGATGGGTTTCGATGGGCCCCTCCTCCCACACCGAAATCCCGCAAACCGGGTGCACCTAGGGGGGGGGGGTACCCCATGGCTGTTTGCAAGCAGCACCCAAGCCCCCAAAAGCATCACACCACAGCCCATTGGGTTCAAATCAGTTCACTGTTGGAGACCACCAATTTTTTTCTCCTTTTTCCTGCCCTCCCCCCCTCCCTCCCCTCCCCGCCCCCCCCCCCTCCCCCCCTCCCCCCCTGCCCGCATCCCCCCCTCCCCTTCCGCCCCTTTCCCCCCCCACCCGCCTTGCCCCCTTCCTCCTCTTCAACCTTGGCATCTCCGCTCCAAAGTGCTCCTTGTTCCTACTTCGCGTGATCGTCGCGCAGCCTCGCGTGCTTCCGCCTCTTCCCCCCGTTTTGTCTCACAATCTTAGAAGCGCACCAGCGAAGCTTGTCAACTTGAAGGTTCCCGTTTAGTCTCACAATCTTAGAATCTTAGAAGCGCACCAGTGAAGCTTGTCGGCTTGAGGGTTTAGGACCACTGTGACTGCGAGTAGCGGCTCAAAACTGGCGGACACCAAACGACTTTGCCTGTACAAGTGCATTCGGCTTCTGGTCTGTCGCCCACGGGGTCGGCGGCTTGAGCCGGAGGCTCTTAAATTCGTGAAAGTGCAATGATGATCAGGCGACAGCACTTGCTGGGCGTGTCCGTCAAGCAAAGGACTGCTCTCTTTAGCCGCCTCCCTCGCGGCGGAGGCGAGCAGCCATGGACAGTCTCGACTCCAAGCGACACCTTCGAGAGCACTTCAGGCTGTGCCTACGTTATACCTTTCAACATGACGCCGGGCAGGCCGCAATCTCGCTGCGGCTCTTGAGCTTCGGGCCACAGACGTCCTCTCCGGAATGTGCTCCATGAACCTCTTGGGGCACAGAGCTTTCATGAACTGGCAATGAGCCGTTTTCGATCCATCTTCTCGCGCTCCGATCCCCCAGTCCCGCCGTCTTGGGGCCCCTCCCCCCCTCCCCTTGTTCTGACAGTGTCCAGTAGTGGTAAATGCTGAGTCCATCGAAGCAAACGAGGTCTTGGCAAACTTCGCTTCAGAGGGCTGGCTCCCACAGGCCTGGCAGAGTGTCGAAGAATCTCAGATGCCTCTGGAGAAAAAGCTCGAAACAGGCCGGTACATGCTTCCCTTGTCGTTTCTGCGCGCTGCTTTGCGTCCCAGAGCCTCAAATCCCAAAGCAGCAGACTCAACTATTGGAAGGAGACGGCGAGGACCAGACACCACCCGACCATCTCCGTAGGCTGCTGCCAGCCTCAACTGAAACACGGCAAGCTTGTGAAAGTAAGTGCAAGCACCTGAAGTCTCTCAGCGCCGACCAGCGAGCACTGTTTTGTTGCACCATTGTGCAGAACGAGTAGTGTAGGGTCTGGGATAGCCATTCCAAAGCTGTGCCTCCTTCACTAAGATCGTACTGTTTGTTTGAAGGGGCATTGCTGAGGAGCGGCCAATCTGCCACTGCCTTCGGCGCTCTGCTCGCGTTATGCACAGATTGTGCATTCCGCGGGCATTGAGCGCCTTTCGCTTCCTCTTTGGGCGCTTGGCACCATCGAGAGCGGTTTGTGCAGCTTCTGGACGCGCTGTCGCTGCTTTGCAACCGGTGGAGTGGTCAAAAACTTGCTCGTCAGCACACGGCACAGACAGTGCCGGCCGCTCGTCACATGCTGACAAGTCTGGATACAAAGAATTTGACGCAATCCCGCATCGCCACACAGGATCACCCAGCCTCTGTTCGAGGCTGATCCACAAGTGCGCTTGGCAACCAATGTTGTCTCAGCTTTCAAGCAGCATGTATGTGCAAGTACGGTACGGATCTATGCCAAAAGCTGCTTGACAGATTAGAATGACATGTACGAAACATGCACATATGTATATGAATGAATATCCACCCGTCCGTCCATCCATCCAACGCCGCCTCCCCCCCTCCCTCCCTCCCTCCACGCATCCATCCATCCAGGCATGCATGCATGAATGCATGCAAGAGTACATACACACATAGACACATGCACACGTGTACACACGCACACACATACACACATGCACACATACACACACGTACATGCATACACACATCCATCCATTCATACATACATACATAGAAGCATGTACATCCTCACCCACAGACAAGCACGTAAAGCATCGATCTGGAAGGCTAGCCATGCGCAACATGCCGTCGGATCCATTACCAGCTGGCCGACGCCGCCATGAAGCAGGTCTTGCATCGATTTGACCCAGGACCCAAAACAGTTTCAACACAGGGTTGTGTCGGTACAAGATCTTCAAAGGCCAGCTGGCGGTGAAACATTTGTTCTGTTTTGCCGGGAACGGATGGGCAGGAACCAGGAGAAATTCGGCAGCCCGAAAGATTGAAAGTCAGGGGCGCTGCGTGTCAGACCGAAAGCAAGAGGCACCAAGAAGTCTTGTATCTGGCGAGGAGAATGTCGCTGTCAGCGCTTGGCAAAAAAGGATAGGACATGACTTGCCAACAGTTGAACTGACATGGCAGCACGAAGTTCGAATTGACTGGGCGGCTGCGTTGTCTAGAAGACAAAGAAAAACGAGAGCTACATATCACCAGGCACACTCTGTCAACAGCTTACGGAACGCGTCGTTCGTCGCCCGAAGACTTGGGTGGAAAATATGACGGCCGCATCGAGATGTCTTAACAAGTTACTTCCCTACTCATGTCGATGCATCTTGATGCAGTCGGACCGAAAATCGATGATTGCCTGCAGCTGAGAGCTGGACAGGTCATGAAAACTACAGGAGTGCTCTTGCTTTTGGCGTCTCTGATTCTGACCCCTCCAGATTATTCTGGGTGCCTGCGACGGCACCACCATGGAATTGGCGGCGTATCTCTTGCCGGGCGCGGATGCGAACCGCTCAGTCTGTCAGCTGCTTGCTTTCTTAAGCATGAGCCATCTGGCTCTGAGCAGCATGTCAGGATGGCAAGGCAGCCTCAGCTGCGGCTTGACCACTCAGTTCAGTAGACATGTGACAATTTCTCTAAGTTGCCGTAGCCAACCAAAACCAAGTGCATTTGACCCCCTGCCCCTGAGGGAACGGTGGGAAACGCCAAGACACAGCCTGTCGTCAGCCTCCCATTGCCAGTTCTGGCTGCCTCAGCAATCTGGAGGTTCTGTGAACTGGGCTTGCAACTTGACCAACACGCATCAAAGGCACGGCACGGCGACGGCCTCGGACAGAGCTGACGTCCGAAATGTCAGGAGTAAAAGAGTTGTAGAAAACTTTTGCCGGAAACTTCGTGCGGCACAGGCACCATGGGCATGCACATTGGCATCATGGGGGATTGCATGGACTGCATAGGCTGCATGGGCTGCATAGTCTGCATGGGCTGCATTGGCTGCATGTTTGGCATCATGCAGTTCATGTTGCCGGCTGCCTGCAAGGTACAGTCGGTAAGTCGGTACAGCATCAGAGTGAGAGAAAGTCGAAACACCATGGCAGGTGCTGGCCTCCATCGGCTGCATGACCACAAACCTTTGTCAGCAAAATTCGGCACTTGAAACTGCGAAGGGCGTAGTCTTAGCAAAACGGCGGATCGTCTTAGGTCTGCCAAGGAACTGGTACTGCATTGCTGGCGAAACGCACGTCCCCTGATTGGGAGTGTAGCCATGCCGCCAAACCAACTGTCCGCAATTGCTGCAATACGGACCGCTGCCACAAGTTGGGCACACCTCTGCCGATCAACAAAAGAAATCTCCTCTCAACTCTTTACAGCGCAATTGCAATCGAAGGGCATTGTCGGCACGCTTCGGTTCCGCATCCTTGCTTGCGGCACAAAACTGTCAGGCTGCAGCTTTTTGTACGTAGCTATTTCAAGTGCCTCATCACATCACTAGTAGCACATGCATGTGGGCCACGGACCTTCGCCAATGCAAGCTGGCCAGAACAGAAAAAAGCCCCGGCCCTAGACGCACTCTCGGCGGTCGTGCCCATCCAAAGCAAGGCCATAGGCTGCCGAGGCACCACCTTTGGCAATGACGTGGATGGTGCTTTTGGCCGGGCCTCCTTCCACAGCGCCAAAGATCGCATTTCTGTGTTGACACCAGCTGGCAACAGCTTGCAACGAGCCTGCACAGCCGGCAGCTGCTTGCCGGCATCGGGCAGGACGTAGCCTCGGGAACGGAGGCAATGTCGTGCACCCTGCACACGAACGCATAACTAAAGCTGCAAACAGCAGACAAACTAATAGCAGCCATGAAGCCCTGCGGATCGTCAAGGAAAAGTTCCAGCTGGGAAATTGCCCTTGCGACGTTTGCCTCCAGCCCCAACACAGCGATACCAAGGCCTGCCAGACGTTCGCTGTGGGAGAGCCACATGTTGACATCTAAAGTCTCAGTCTCATCCACCTTTTGCCCTGGCTTGAACGTAAGACGCGTATGTCTACAACCACGTAAAAGTAAAACCTGGATTTACAGTACATTGCGGTCCTTGGATTCGGAAGGTTGCGTTGCAAGCCTCGGCTGCGATCTACACACTGTTTAGTTCGAATCCGCCAGCAGGCAGTGGGAGCCAGACCTAGCCTAGGCCTAGATCTTTGCGCAAGTTCCTGAGACTCCGAGTGCACTAGTATCACGATGACCACAGGCGGAAATAGCTTGCGACCTCGCAATAGCTCTCGTGGCATCAGCCATGGCTCCGGCAATGCAGCCAGGTAGCATGAGCAATGCTCTGGAGTGCAGGAGAGCTCCTCGGCAAAAGCAGAGACTGCATCTGTGCTCAAACGATTCTAGCCGCGGCATGCAAACACCAAGAGAGAGTTGTGCTTCGGCAGAACATCCCCAAGCGACGCCCTTCCAGTTAAGGCGAGGTCAGCACGGCGGGGTCCCCCCGAACTTGGATCGTCTGCTCGCAACACAGCGACTCCATCTCCTCGGCGCAAGCTGATGCATCACTGCGGCCTGCTAGCTTGCGAGCACCAGTATGAGACCCCAAAGACGTGGAGGTGGCAAGCCAAGGCTCGTCAATAATTTTGCTCGCTATGGCCGCGCCACTCTGGCTGCCGAAGATGCGTACCTGCAGCACACAGCCTCCTGCAAACACAGCCATCACAAACTTCCCGGTGCGCAACAGCAAATACATCGGCGTGGACACCTCGCAGCTGCTACGCTCGATATGGAGTCGGCATCCGCTGCATTCCTAGCAGGGCAATCCCAGCGAATGCAAGAGCTTGCCGTTGCCGGCGTCCGTCGGCCTGCACCCATGCCACGGAGACGATCTTTGGCTCGGCCAGGTCATCTAAGCTCAGCGTCCGGGTGCGCATCAGCTCCACCCATACCTGTGCCGTGGCAAGAGCTCCGAAAGATGCTGCGGGGCCGGTGCTGCAGCTTGCGAGAAGAACTCGAACGGCGACATCGCATGCCCGCATGTGCGGCCCACTGCTGACATGCTGACAACTCAGTCCTTGCCTTCAGAGGCACTTGACGTCGAGGACCTGCTTCAGGCCAAAGTGATCCCTAAGTTTCGATTCGTCCTTTCACGCGCTGGCCTGATAGTCCTTCGATCTGCTGTTTGGCCATCTGCGACCAAGCGAGAATTTGCAAAGTTCGCTAAGCTGCCAAGAGACTGCCAGAGCCATGAGGCCTCGATGCCGGCATCAGTGCCCGTGAGGCTCAGGACGTGGCGGTTCCGGTCCAGTCGCATGGTGACCTTCAGGCATGCGGACCGTGCCTTCTCAAGAAGCTCGGCATACAAAGAGCTCTGCAGCACTCTGCGGCGTCGGTGACCCCGCCTTGCAAGTGTACTGCAGATCACGCAGGCGACGGCGACTACGATGACAAAGGATAGAGACCAGCTCGCTGTCCAGCTGCATCTCCTGCACAGACCACGTGCCGTTCACGTCTGACGTCCCGTGTTCACGTCCCGTGCCGGCAGAGCCCGGCTCTGGGGCTCCCTGCCTCGGTACGAACCTGAGAGCCGCGCGCTGCAGACACTTCGGACACTTCTTCGTCTTCAAAACGCGTCCGCAGGAGAGGCTAGTGCCGGTGCCGAAGAGTAAGTGAGCGGCTCCAGGGGCGAGGGGGCTAATGAGGTAGCCGCTGCCGTCCCAGGTTCGCCTGTCGTCGTCCGCCTGGACGGCACAAGGTGTCGCGAGAGTAGCACATGCTAAATGTTCGTCATTTGCCAGCCTCCATCACCGATAAAGATCAGCCAATATGGCTCAAAAGGGCACGAGTTTGAGTCAGCGTGGCTGCATGGACGGGGGCAAAGTGAGCTCAGCAGCATTCATAAGTTGAGGCAAAACTCTGTCTACTTTGCAGACAAGTTCGGGTGGAGAGTTGGACTCAGTGGTAACCAAGGGCCAGGCATGCAATTACCGGAAGGAGCCCACGCAACATGTCCGACGCCGCCACATGCGCTCCCTGGCACGCAAGGGGCGACGAGGAGGGAAAGTGGGCACTTCCAAGCTTTGGCTGGACACACCTGGCCAGCTCAAATCGCAGAGTGGAGCTCCAAGCTGCCTCCGACAGCCACGAACAGAGAGGCTCTTTTTGTGCATGAAAATCCCAGCTGCTTTCGCCTTGCATCCCAAGTTTGCACGTGACCATCAGCGCTTCCTGTCGCCAATTGGCTTGAACCTGATGACTTGTCCGCGTGCGACACAGAACTTCCGGCTCCTAGCAATCGCTAGGCATCTCTCTGTCCGCTCACTGAGTCGTGCTCCAAGTTCCGCATCGGCAAAGGCAGCGCACTGCACCGGTCCGTGACGGGTGTCGCAACATCCCGTCGGCGCCAGTCCTCGGGTCCAAAGGAAAAAGAAGGCGAAGGCACTGACACCCCCCCCGGTGCCGGGCCTCGGATTCGGGTGTCCCACGAGGCCAAGCGGCCCTCGCTGCAACCGACAATGAACGTGCTCCCGAAGGAACCTGACATGATCCGTCATGCCACAATCTTCTTGTAAACTGCTCCACGGCGAAGCTTCCTCTTAACACAGGGGAGGCACTTGCGGCCAGGGCCGTCACCTCACGGCCTCATTTTCGGCAGGATCCCGAAGATGCTTGAAGCAAATTTTGCGATGACAGCATCCATCTAGGATAGTCCGCAAGGAACGTGCCTGCAGCAAATCTCGCCGTTGCAGCACCCGTTTGGATGTTCCAGCAGGTGACGCCTGCACCGCGAGATTCAACTGGCCGGCATCTACAGGGCTCACGAGTGTCAGGCACATGGCAGCCATTTTGAAGGATGTTCCTCAACCTTGCTGTGATCAAAATAATCCGATTTTCTGACAGAGGCTGGCACGTGAACAAACGAGATCGGGATTGCGGGTGAAAATGGGTGTGCCGAGGGAGGTAAGCTCACCCGTCTAACCACACGAAAAGCACAGGATAGCATGCGATGCTGATGCAGTCATGTCTACGTGGTTGCCAGCTCTAGACTACGGCAGTAATCCCTACCTCACTGCATAGATCCTTTCTGTGCTATCCTTGAGGTCATGCACAACACCTAAGCCGAGCAGCTTCTGAACTTCTTTACGGTAGACAATACTTTTTGTTTGAGATGTCAATGACAGAGGCAACTTTACTCTTGTCTCAATCTGTCCGGCAAGGCTGCATCAAGGCAGAGATCATGGAATCTAGTGAATCTAGTGGTGACCCGTCGTCCCTCGAGCATACAATCGAAAGACTCTCGTATAACACGGACCGGTGTCCAAGACTGACCGGCAATTTCTTCCGTTGCTGGAACAACCGCACAAGGCGCCTTCACGATTCACAGCGAGCAGCTGAGAAGAGCCTCGGGGCAAGCGCGCAGACATTCCTCGGACCAGCTCTTGTAGAGGACCCGGCTTTCTGTCCAAGCCAGGCCAGATGCTCCTCCTTCTCCCGATAGCCGAAGCTCTGGTCCTCGGTCCGCTCTTTCACCGAAACAGATTCTCACAACGCACGGTCTTTTTCTTTCCGGGGACCTGGCGGCATTCATCCTGATAGGCGACCTGATCACACAGCATTGCAGTATCGTGGTTCACGTCCGCTCTCCCGCTGTGTCGCAGCCTCCCAGTCCGCCGCGCGGAAGACCAGGACTTCACCTCTCAGCTGCAGAGCTGCAGAGCACTGAGCTGGAGATCTGCGAAGGTCGAGCTCAGGCTCCCTCGAAGCTCAGACCGGCCTGAGGTCTTTTGTGTCGCCGTCAGCAGGTATTCCTGCCTTGAGACATCAAAGAAAACAGATCCCGTGGGCCGGATCCGCAGATGTGGTTGCTCGGCTTCTGCATTGCGTGCGAGCGGCGGGCTGCACGCCAGTGTCGACAATCCATCATGAGCCATGTACTGAGTGATACGGACGAAGGGCCTCGGAGCTTCAGACCAATACCCTCAGATGCCTTGTGATTTTCAGTTGTTGTCCACGCAGTCACACGCAGGGCGACCGACTGCACTGCTTCTTCTGCTAGTTCCTGCACACATTGGTCATCGCCAGGCTGTTCAATGCGAACCCCCCTTCTTCCGTCCTTTTGCTCCTCCCATGGTTGGCGATGCTTTGACCTGGGCTCAAAGACAAGCTGAAAACGAAAGCGATGCTTTCGCAGCAAACCCTCAAGGGCTCGACTCCTCGGCCAGGCGCTCGGGCCAGGGTAGACGGACCTCGAAGCGGCGAAGCTGCCGGCCACCCTAACATACCTGGCTACTCCAGCTAAAGTTGGGTCCCCTGCAGCTGCAAGCATGAGTGCCTGCACATCGCACGAACACACATGTCTGATGGCACGCCACATGGGCAGATTCCGGGGTGGCCCACCTTGGAGCTGCCCAGAACTATCCGCTGCAGGACGGCGTTCTTGCTGATCCGGGCAGCACCAGAGGGCCTGTGTGCAACACTTTCTCGAAACTCCGTCTCACAACGGAAACTGAACAGGCCAAGGCGCCACGAAAAAGATCTGATGTCAGGAGATCTGCGATGGGCGACAACCAGATCATACAAGTGAGGGACCTGGCACAGGCTCGATTTCAAGACAGTAAAACAAAGTGGGGGGGCCTTCACAAAGCCGCCCCAAGTGCACAGAACCTTTTCTTTTCAGGCCTCGGCCTCTCTGCGCGAGTCCGAAAGCATAAAGCGGCCCATACCGTGCAGCACGTTGGAACGAGCCCTTGCGTTAACGGTTAATGCTCTTGGTCTGAACCACCACGAAGCACTTAGGATTCGTGATGCTTCCTGAATCACAGAAGGGTGACTTCTGGAGCCCTCGAGCAACTAAGTACGAATATGTACAACCCTCTTGCGCCGCGAATTTTGGAAATTTCTCCAGCGGCAGGACGTCACTGCACGCAGCAGTCTTTCCTGGCAAGCTAGCTGCTAGCTTGGAAAATACCACTGCAGCAAAGCTAAACTGATTACAAACACCATTCCCACATGCCAGAAACAGCACAACCGTCTCCGTCTTGATTTTATGCCAAGCAGCTTCTGATCTGCAGGCTGTGCAGCCACCTAGCGGTCCAAGCGGAGATGCTGCACCGGGGGTCGCCGGGGTCGCTGGGGGTCGGGCAGTGGCACGAATGGGATTGTCCCGAGAGCCAGCTGCAGCAGAGAGCCCCACGTCTGCAGAGGACCTGCGGATGCCACTGAGCCGAACAGAACGACACCGTCGACAACGGCTGCACTCGCTTCCGACCGAGTGGCTGCATTGTAGTCATCTGCACTTGCCGCGCCGTGGAGCGAACCAATGGGTCCATGTCCTTGGCTGCAGAAGATTGGCGTTGACGACTCCGGGAGTTTCTTATTTCTATGGCTGCAAAGTTGCCCTCAGAGAATCTTTCCATGTGCGCCCCTTGCAAAAAGTCCCAATGGCCTTCGGATGTTGCGCTGAGTCAGAACTGCCAGGCCAAACCCCGAAGAACACCCGCCGGAAGGACAAGGATGCACCAAGACTAAAACGCAAAAACTAGGAAGGCCGGCCTGGAAACCCCAGCGACTAGGGCCTGGCTCGCGCATCAGCCGAGCAATGAGGAGCCCGGTTTCACCTCGCGCCTGGCGAAAGCCACGGCCAGGCGCAGGAGGGGCTCAAATCCGCTCAAGCCGTGGCAAATCTCGCTGCCGGCTGCCATTCCTGCCTCGCGGAGGACATACCGAGCAAGCTCTGTGCCATCCTGCATCGAAATGTTACTATATACGTCCAAGGCGACGAAGGCATTTCACCTCTGCTCAGGGTCCTGGCTGCACATGCGGCAATAAGCGTTGGAGACACGGTCAAAAGTTATGTTCGGCGTATAGATGTTCACCGAGAAAACCATCCTGATCGAGTTGGCTGAAAGACTCTTCCCAGGGCAATCAAGGACTGTCGAATAATGTCACAAAGCTGCAAGTTTGCAGATAAGTTGCTGTGTGACTGAATCTGGAATGGCCGACAAGTTCACAGTGATGACCTCGTCATCCCCACTCCCTTCACCTGACGGAGACGGACTCATCCTGACACATGCGAGTGAGTCTGCAGCAGCGTGCCTGTGAGGTTGTCCCCACTGTGCACCACACCGAATTCTTCCTGGCCGCTCCACAATGCGGTCAATTGCGGTCAAAGTGTCGATCGTGGCACTGTACTTGGAGCATTCTGCTTTCCCAAACACCTGGTTTCCGAAGAACACGGCGCCCAGGTGCCGGCCGTCTGCCGCGAAGAACACCACCGAAACGTCCTACAGCTCGGCCGATGGTCGATAGCCCGTGAGGAACACAGCCCTCGAACACTGTGCCTTGTGCAACCGAGGGACCAAGTCCACGTCCGGGCCAGGTCCTGCCTTCACGTCCCAGCCCAAGCCGGCAGTGACCTTGCCCAGGTCCGAGGTCTGCCTCAGACTCCAAGGCTCCGCTGCATCCTGCGACACCCTGCGACCTGCGCTCCGACAACGCTTCCCAGCAGCGGGAGCTCCACCATGGACCCCTTCTCCATCGCGAAGGCCACCTGCGACGTGCACCGGCCTGAACCGCCTCTCGGTCGCACGGGTCGGGGCCCCGTGACACCTTCTGGCGCTTCGGCGCTGCCGGGATCTCTGCACGGATCAAGTTCCCCAAAGTGGGCTCCAGGATGTCCATGAAGTGGCGCCCTTCCACGAAAAGGAAACGCAGAAGCCAGCGAAAAACATCCGAGCGTGGAACTTTCGGGCCTTGCTGAGCAGGCTCGTCCAGCACACGCAGGCTCCAGTCCCCAGAATCTGACCGTGCCATTACGAAGACCTCATGCTTCAGGGCTCCGGATGCCTGGAAACGGCATGGACTCCGGCGTCTTCTTTTGAGCTCCAGGCTGCATCAACTTCTTTCGCGCTCTGCTCCATTCGATAGCTCCTGGGTGGTCCAGCCAGGGTCATCTCTGCAACTACTACCGTAAGGTTTGCCCGGCATTTTGAAGGACAAGCTACGCAACTTCGCTTCCAGGATCATCCTCAAGTACATGAAGGACACCGTTGGAAACATCCTTGAGCTGACCGCCTGAGACTCACATAGACTCACGAGAAGCAGCGCAACAAGTTGATTGAGGGTGACCCCTCTTAGCTTCGCACGGTTGTGCGCGGCTACGACAAAGATGATGAGCCTAACCTGGCGAAAGCTCGCCAGCACAGGCCAAATCGAGGCATGCGAGGCACGTGCCTGGGGAGGGACCCTTGGCAGCCTCGGATCAGAAGGCGCCGCCAACCCCCCCCCCCCCCGCCCCCGCCGCGACTCTGCTCTTGCCTCCAGGTGGCATGACCCACACAGTTTCATCCATACCAGTCTTCTCCCCGGTCTGTTCATCTCCGGAGTGCGTCACGCACCTGACCGGACCGTCATCTGTCCGAGCTCAAATTTGTACCGACATGGCATGGGACTGGTTCCGGACCTGAGAGCCTTCATGTTGTTGTAGTACGCCGCATCGACGATGACCTTGTCTTCCCCCACAAGCGCCCCACAAGGGGGGCAACTTCCGTGTCCTGAGACTCTGACACCTTTCTGGTCCACGATGACAGCTTGCAGATCCACGTCTACAGCATGCATGCCCTGCCGGTGCACAGGCATGTGTCGACCCTGCACACAGATCGCCACTAGCAAGATGACCACTCCTTGTCCCAGGACACTGCGACGCCAAATCTTAGATGCCAAGAATTCACGAAGCCAAGCAGCCAAGCAGCGCAGAACACCAGTCAAGGAGGCATCAAAAAAGGGACAAAAGAGCGGCGAGATGCTTGGTAACATTGGGGTTCACAGGGATCTCGGCCCCGCGACTCAGCGCCATGGCAGCTGCTTTGGGAAATTACTGGCGCATGCTTGCTGGAGTCTTCTGGCAAACGCCAGTTACAGTCGGGGTGTGCCACCACCATGCACCACGGCTCTCTAGTCAAATCTGTCTAGGTTCGATCGGGACCGGATTTCCAACCCACGTCTGCAAAACGATGCTTGCTTTCAGATATCATTGGCCCTGGAGTGAGCCATCGTCTCAAGCAGGAGAAAGCACAGAAGAAGCACCTGCAAGCGTGAAAAAACCAAGGTCGGGCCTGAGCCTGCCAGAGCTTCTTCCGGGTTATCTGATCGGGTCTTAGGCCCTGAGCCAGTGAAAAGTGGCAGCGAAAACGCTGCCGAACTTAAGCATGAGGATGAGGGCTGCAGGCCTGCTCCTGCTTCCTCTTCAAGGGCTTGGAGGCCTCTTCCTGGCCTCCGACAGAGCGACGCTACCATGGCTCCGGCAAAGGGTTCAGCAGACGCAACCCGCCTCCGTCCTGTCCGGAGATCAGCCCGAATCGAAGCTGCAGATACCGCCTGATTGCAGTTGGAGTTCTGAGACAAACGGCCTGACAATCGATCGCGATGACCTGGTAATCGCCGATGACCCCAGCAACTGAAGCTTCTCAACCGAGGTGGTCATGACCATGATGTCCTCCATTGGGTCAGTCAACGTCGCGACGCTTCTACTTTGCAGTGTCTTGGCCAGCTTCGAGCGTCTTATCGAAATCAAAAGCAGCACGGTCCTGCGTGCCGAACGTGGCTTGTGTCAGAAGTTGGGAGGGCACGGATTTAGAATAATTTTGGCTCGTACGGATTTAACATGACTTAACCTATGCTGGTTCGGCGTTGCTGCTGTGTCTCTGTGGCATTGCTTCTGTCGAATATCGCTATATCTTAGCGCTGGTACCGGCAAGCCTCCTGAGCCCAACGATCAGCAGTCTCTACACGTCACAAGGCATCCGGCATGCAAGACTCTATATATATATATATATATATATATATATATACAAGGAAAGGTCCTCGCGAAGCTGCCGGGCGGGGCCCGGGCCCCGCAGCGCTCGAGGACCGCCCTCGGCCAAAACTCCGGAAGAAACGGAGCCAGGACTCTGCTAGGCATCTCGGCCAGGCCTTTCTCCTCCGGAGGCTCGACACTGTTAGCGCCTCTGGGAGTCCAATCCATGGAGCCTGTTAAACAAAGACGAACCTTGAGTGCCGAACCCTTCACCCCTCCGAACTTCTCCAGCGCCAGGCGTCCTGACACACATTTGCACCGCTGCAGGGAACCCGATTCATGACTTCACAAGCGCCAGCCGGGCTCTGCCCTCTTTACTGCAAAAAGAGCGTGCAAGCGAAGTGAGGGAATGCACTGCAGAGACCACGGCTGCAACAGGCGCCATTCATTGTCCCGTACATAGACTCGTTTGGCAGTTGAAAAATGATGCAACTTGGTCTTTGCAGGCCTGTGGTGGCTCAATCTCAATTATTGCTGCCAAGAAGGGACCTCTCCCTCGAACAGCCAGTGCTTGAATTCTGGCGTTGCATGTGCACTCCAGGAACTGGCCTTTTCAAACAACAGAAACGGCTCCCTCGCCGGCCCGACACTGCCTACCGGCCTACCTGTACCATTCGCGCGTAGTTAAGAGCTTTAAAAGCAAGGCAGCCTTCTAACACAGGTGACGCGACTCCTCCACACATGGGAAGAGTCCATCAGCGAAAGGTGAGAAACTGTCCCGCGACTTCCTGGCTTCGCTATGCTTCGCTTCTCTCCGCTGGCCACTGATGGGATGTACAAGCCCGTCCACGTACAGGAAGTCCAACATGTGTGCAATATTTGCCCACAGTCGCTTCTTTTCGTGCGTTTTGCAGCAAAATCGACCACACGTGCATGGCAGCCAGACGATCATGAAAGTGAAACGATTTCGTCGCCTCATAAGATGGTGCACTTCATGGACTTTTTGCCGCCTGTTCGCTGCACGGATGGCTTCCCATTCCTGGAACCGAGGACTGCAATCCAAAAAGCACATGGGTGTCCACTGCAGTTCCTTCCGTGATCATTCAAGACCAAGTCTTTTCTCAAAGCCCAGCCACGACAGCTTGAAGGGCTGGTCGCCCGCAGCATCTTCCACTGGGGCTGCGCCTCCCGCCTGAACACCACGTGGAAATCGAAGCTTGGGGTGCTGTTAATGGTAAGAAAAGCACAGCCTTGGCAGCTGCACTTCTTTCCTGAAGGCTGCTGACTCTCCCGATCCCGATCGACAAGCTGTTACGAAAGCTGGGCTTGCTGCTGCCATCGGCTTCGACGCAACCTCTGCCGCGTCGTATCCAGAGGGACCACGAACCGATCCGGCCCTCTCTCGCAGCCTTGCCTCCTCTATCGACATCATGCCCGCTCTGCCCACTGATGCCTCGGGAACATTCGGACGGTGCAAGGAGGGTCTCTCCTTGGGGCGGTGCCTCGCCCCCGTTCTTTACGAACTCGTTACCCAGGTGGGTGAAAACCTTACCATCAGGAGCATCTCCGTCGGTTCGTCTGAAAGCCACGGTGCTAGAGGCTTCCTGGCTGAGTCTGCGGCTTCGCTGACGTTCAGGTCATCTTTGACACACGTCCTACAAGACTGATCTTCTACCACGGACTCCCAAGCGACAGCCACGGGGGCCGAGTGTGAAGTGCAGGTCTCTAGTCGTGGTAGATACGATTCCACACCTCATGGGATAGACTTTGCAGGCAGTTGTAAACATTCTGAACGCGTCCTGTAGAGCTTGAGACGCAGCTTCTTTGCCAGCCTTAGCTCAACTTCGCATCTGCAGCTGAATGTGAAGATGTCCACAACATTTCGCCTGCATTCCCTGGGTTCCGGACGTCTCAACCTCCTTTGCTTCTACCACCGCTTCATCTAGGAGGTCCACCTGGAAAGCCCAGCCCGACGGCACAGAGCGAGGTCTCTTCACGTCTCATCGACAGTAGCCCTTAGAACTCATGGGCCTTGTTTTGCACAAGTACCATCACGAGGTTGCCACACTCGTCGTGGACCTCGGAGGCACAGGCATGCCTGCATCTACCGTCTCAGCAATACCACTTGGCCGGAGCACCCAAAATCAACACAACAGCACAGAAGTCTTGAGGCGAGCGGCTTTCTTGTACCAGGACTCGATGGCATCAAACGAGTCCCGGTCCGTGGTAGAGAAGGCCAATATACACGCACCGGCACCCTGGAAGAAGTGAACATGATTGCAGGAAAGGAAAAGCCCGGCAAATCTAAAGCCTTGTAGTATGCCCTGGTGATGGCATCATACTCCTCCTGCCCAGCTGTGTCCCACAAAAGGTAGGTAACCTTCGCGGGCTGGAGAGTGCTGCGAATTACACATGTCGGGTATGAATTGATTGACTGCATAGGCTTGTTCATGTGCCTCCTCACCCACATCCTTCAAAAACGTCCTCTTTTCCAAAAAATCCACACCTGCGACTACTATGACTCAGCAAGAACATGGGGCCACAGAGCCTCTGCATTACCAAACACGTACTCGCAGCATTTCTCAGACTTGTGCCGATGGTCTTCTTGTATTCGTTGGTGAAAATGCCTTTTGCAAATCGCGTGATCCTTGGCTGCAAGCTAAGCTACAGCGCACATCAGTGACATCTTTGCCTGCGCTTCCGCTACTGCCAATCATCAGGCTGCGGGCATGGACGTCTTGCCCACCTGCCCATTTCCAACGACAATCACCTGCGGGCTTTCAGGCATCTGCCAGCCTGAGCCTGGAAAACCATCACAAAAACCTGCCTTTAGAGTGATGTCTACGTCTTGCTCGAGCATGGCAGCAAAAGGCTCCTCGCAAGAGAACAGGAAATCAGGCAGAGAAAGCAAGATGGATTGTGGGGAAGCGCAGATTGTCGAACGAAAGCTAAAGATTCGTGCTGAAACATTGGATCTTCTGGTCTTGCTTAACTTGAAAACACCATCAACAGGAGACAATGAAGCCAAGGAGCAGCGGCGGCGTGGACGGCGTTTGCGTCTTGCTACAAACCCTGGGCACCCTTTACTGGTTGCAGGGGCTTTCAGGCGAGGCTGCTGTGTCTGCACTGTTCGCTTGGGACAGGGCCATGATCGCTGGGTGAAACTGAACCCTTTTGGAAGATAGTAGAACCCTTTCAGTATGTAAGCTTGTGGTGGTCCTGCAACTAAGTAGGCCCAAGCAGATTCCGAGCCAAACTGGACAAGCACCGGAGCAAGTGTCACGAAAGACAGGAGTGGCACTGTATCACTGTGCTCTCACAGCGGCCTTTAGCTGCGTACTCCGCCTCTTCCTGCTCCCGGCGAAGCCTGCGAAGCTCTGGTCGCCAGACTCGCTTTGGGCTTCTCACAGGCGGACGGAGAAGAGCGGCCTTCTGCTGATGGCTTTGCGAGCTGCCTTGCCCAGAGGCTGCATTTCTTTGGCACGTTCCTCCTGCACTTTCGATTGCTTTTCCAGACCTCCTTCCCTTCCAGTCTCAGAAGCCCTGCCTTGGCAGGTGGACTCGCACCAACGCCGAGCCTCTCAGACCTGTCAAACAAGCAACACGGATATGCTGTGACAGCAGCCGGCCCGTGGCCTGTGAGGTCGAGACGCAACTGCGGCAAGCCAAGACATTGCGTCGCCTTGCACTCATTGGTGTGTTGAAAGGCAACTGGGTGACCTTGTTCGCCCTTCGCTACCCAGCGCAGCCTCCACCATCGTCACAGGTAGACTTGTAGTCGGCAAACCTCAAAAACCACACTGTCAGCGAAGCATCATAAGATGTGACAAGTCCTGTCGCAAAAGCCGAGGCGCCTACCATCCGCTCACAACAGCCTCGTCCGGATCTATGAATTCTGGAATCACCGCCGCTGTGCCATCGGCAGGGGCATCTTTGCTCCTCTCTTGAGGTCGCATCAATTACCCCTACCTGCACTTTCGATCTGATCATCTGCTCCCGCATACTTCCGAAAATCATAAAAGAATGAAAACAGAAAGGTGAAGCTACGTCACAAATACCCATCGCACCGTAACTTGTCCGCAACACATCCACAAATCCCGACATCCCGTCTCTGATTACTCCTATATCCAGTAACTAGACAGCCTCAATGCTTGAGCCGTCATCAACAATGGTTGCTTTCTGAAGCAAAGATGGTCAAGACCGATGCAGATGCTTTCAAGTCAACTTACATGTCAGCAAACCGCTGGCAGAACGAGTGGTGTCTGTCTCCAACTTGACACCCTTGGCACCACTTTTTGGGGGGTCCTGGTCGGCACAGGCTTTGCACCAATGGTTACGTACTGCCTAACCCAGGACGAGGTATTCAATCACATCTGCAACTTCATGGTGACAGCATGAGCACTTCGGAGTGAACGAATGTAACTTGTGGACTTGTGGACATCTATGAGCACACACACACACACACTACGGCAGAGTCCGCCGATGGCCAGCCTCCCTTATAGAGGGATAAGCGGCATGTGATACACAATGTTGCAGGAGCACCCACTCCACAGACTGAAGAGCCCGAAAAAATGCTGCCGAAGACGATCTCGATTGCCGCCCATCTTCCAATACTCGCACATGGTTTCGGTTTCGCATGTGCCAGCTGAGACAGATGCTGAGATCTTATTTGTGAGTGGGGCTCCTGCAAAGCTAACAAGAGAGCGCGACGCGCGGGAGAGAGAGGCGCTGGTGCCAGACGCACTGTCTGGCAGCACTGCTGAGAGGCCTCACCCCCGACTGCCCATCAGCGAACCAAGCAGTTTCTGCTTTGCACCTCCGCAGCTGGATCAGAATGACAGGTCCTGCAAGAGTCTGTCCAATCCGACTGAGACCGCTGCTTTGAGTCGCTTTCTGGAACATCTGTTCGGCCTGCATCGCACTTCATTGAGTCTAGACTCGAACACGACATGACTGTATCAGCAACTGCGATACAAGTTACTGTAAAGTTAACTCCTGGCCGCCAACAACAATGGCCATGGCCGACTCTCAACCACAGCTAGAAACTCTGCAGCAGGTGATGCAGCGGTTGAGTTGCCGGTACCTGGGCACTCTGGGTGACTTCGGTCTCGTCAATCATCTTGATTCGTGCTGAGATCTTCTCGTCATCGGTCTCCATGATGACACCATTGTCGGTGACCTGGTGTTCGTGTGTCATGCACCCTATGGATCAGCATTCACCAAAATCGTTCGTACAAGCCAATAGAAAACACAGCAGACCTCGTCCAGGATGAAGAGGACGTCAGAAAGACTATCCAGCACAAGCTGTTTTGTCAGACCTGATGACCTGCTCCACCAGCATTGACAGCAATCAATCGCGGGATATTCGAAGACTTTGTTCACCCCTTCTGCCGAGGCATCAGCAAAAAGCTTTGACTTTGGCATGCATTCGAAAGGGCATTGTACATGCCTTCCGCCTCGGGATGAAGTCTGCAAAGGAAGGTTTTGCTAAAGTTGGGCCTGCGCGCCCACATCTTCTTGCGCTTCCTGCTCTTGCGCTGCAAACTTCTAGCTAAGACTCCGACAAGCTCCAACATCACAAGCTCATTTTCGCTGGATGCAGCTACCGCGGCCACAACCACGTCATTGCAGGCCTGCTGCAGCCCCAACCCCAACTGCGATTTCAGAGCTGCAGCCCTTTGCATGGAACCTGAAAAATCACTGTGTAGTCATCAATCACCGCCACATCCACATCGCTCCGAGTCGCCGAGGGTTTCGGCAGTTTGTTGATGACCTTAATCGATCACCAGGCCAAACACGAAGAGACACACAACAGCTGCACAAAACCGAGGCATGTTCTCTCTTTTCGAAGGCAACTTGCTGCTTGACAGTTGGCCAAAGTTCCTCGTTGTTTGCAACGACAATCAAGATTAAATTTTATCACCAGCATTACCACCATTCAGACTCAGGCAAACTGCAAGTGGTCAACATTTGATAACATGTTATAAGCACTGCAGTTGGCTCAAGTCCTTTCGCGCGTACGAATTGTACTTGACGGCCAAACGCCCACCGTCCGTGTCCAACACAAGGAGTGCCTGCCATGCCAATGTGAATCTACAAACATCGCACAATGCCAAATCGCATTTGCAGCCGCGCCAGGATCTGCACCAATCCGTCTTCGGCCATGGCTACTCGACTTGCCAAAAACTTGTCTGCCAAACAGCATCGAGGTCACCGCAGGATCACACAACCAAAAATATCGCACAGCACGATGCATCGTCAAAATTGTGAGTGTATGAAAAACCCTGTTGTGCTCACGGTCGTTCTGGTATGCCAACCGACTGTTCCGTTTACGGTCTCCGAAATCGCGCCGTCACGGAATGGCATCTTTGATTCACTCGCGAGGCACACTTCAAACCGGACATATCAAGCAATCTCACCTCAAACTTTTGGGTAATTTTCAAGTCTTTCTCTGCACAGCACATGCGAAGTATCGCCGACGTTTCCAATGCACTTCCGCGTCATCCACATCTGTGTGTAACCGGTCACACAAAAGCGTCCGTGACAAAATGACGTCACCACTCCACCAACATCTCGGCGCTGCGCAGGGCATGCATTCACACGGTCTTTGGAAATTACTGACATCGAAAAACAAAAAGCAAACGATTCCAAAATTGGTGTTTCCGAAAAAGCCAGCCTCCTCAAACCTCCGAACAAACTTATCGGCCCTTCTCACTGTTTTACATTAAACTTTAATTTTTTACCGACGTAGATGTGAAAATCTCGATCTTTTAAGCACTTTCGTTTTTTGTCGGTTTCACCAGTTGTGGTTTTTGGACATCGCAAATTCGCTGTGATCATGGCACATCCGCAAATAGAAGTCGATACTGATGTTGATTTTGGGCTGCTCTTTTTTTCGACCCCGAAATATATTTTTTCAGACCGCGCGCTTGGTCCATCTTGATTTCGACCCCGGCATGTCTTTTTTCCAACCTCCATCTTTTTTTTCAGCCCCGCGACGAGGTCAAGAAAAAGATTATGATCTTTTTTTCGACCTCCACTCGTCTTTTCGCGGCCCCGAAACATCTCGTAACTGACCCGGTGTCTTTTTTCGGACCCCGGTGGATCTTTTTCTGGGCGCCTCTAATGTCTTTTTCCTGACCTCTGCAAAGATAAAAGCACGCACACATGACATATCAAACAACACAACAAAGAGCGCTACAATATGAATTTGTGCAACGCAAACTGCACAAAACTAACTTAACCATACTATCTTCAAACCAACATCTTTTCAAAGACACGAAAAGAAGAAGAAGCACGAAATCGCTTTAGGGGCTGAAAGCGAACGCAAGAAATCAAACTGTGTCATCGAAAAAACTATCAAAAAAAACGTTTTCCAACACAAAGGAAGGAGAAGCCACACGATATCGCTTTAGGGGGCAAAAGCAAAGAAAATATGAATGAATAAAGGAGATTGAAAACACACACACGACAAAAGGATCTTTTTTTCCGGCCCAAATTGTCTTTTTTCTGGCCTCTGCTTGGGGCCGAAAAAAAAATCAAAGTCTTTTTCTGGACCCCGGATGTCCAACAAAAAGGAAAAAGATCACGCGGTCTGGAAAAAGACATTTTGGGGTCTAGAAAAAGACCAGCCGGTTGATTTTCGAAAAACCGCTTGTCGAAAATGTCGACAGAGTAAATGCTTTCCGCAACAATCGTAGACAAGCTCAATTGCGGACCACCGCTGCAGATTAGAACAGCCCTGCATTTGTCAACAAAAAAGTTCGTGTTGATCTGAACGTCTGCTACACCCAAAACCGATCTAGCTGGCATTGATGAACAAGATTCGACCCAAAAGGTTCTTCAAAGCACTTAGTCTTC